TCTATCCCGCCCCCCCCCCCAGCTAGCAATCCAAAACAGTCCAGTGGAGCCTGAGTGGTGGGTGTTGCCTTCTGACACACTTCTGGTGATGTCAGGGGGTGTGGCATATGCAAATAAGTTGTGCTAATGAGTTATGCTAATGAGCTCCTGCACCTCTTTTTCTACAAAATGACCCCTGTTTACCACTCATGTCTAAAGTGGGATACGCTTGCAGAATAGACTTAAGCCAGTTACAGATCAGCAGCCATACCTCTGGAACCACTTTCAGTCAGATTGAAGTTCATGATGTAGTTGGGCCCGGAGAGTCTCTCTGCTCAGTCGTGGCGTCCGATGAAGTAATAGACATTCTGGCAGGGGAGTGGGGTAATGTTGTGCCCGAAGAATGCGCGTGGTCAGTGGCATGTGGGGCATGTTTTGATGCATTTCATTCTTCCCATGTCTCCCTTTTCCAGTGAAAACAACAGCCCTGTCACCCGGGACATGTTTCACCAAGCAGCGCTGCCTGTTAAATACGCCATATATGTCTCTGTCAAGAAGTAAGTGACCGCAAGTATTATGAGGCAGAAGCAGACCCCTGCCTTGCCTGGCTGTACGCCATCTTGTTAGTGCCCTGCGGGAGGCTTGCCCCCACCTCCAGCATATCCAAGGTTGTTTGTATGGGAGAGCCATCTTAGGGTAGTGTTCCTGAGGTAATTCTCTTCAAAAGAAAATTCCAGAGTGGTTTAAGATTCAACGTAGCAGAGATGCCGCGACATTATGACCAGATACCCAAGGTGCTTTTAATTGCTAAAGAGTAACTAGCAGGGACTTTATTTTAACAATTTAATGATGCATTCCCCTGCACCATTTCCCAAATCTCAAACAGCGCCCCTACTCCCAATTTGGGATCCCCCCCCCCCCGGCATTTCCCCAGTGAGGCAAATACTAGTGGGGGAGGGTTGGAGGTGAGAAAACGGTGTGGTGAGAGAGTTACATCTCCACATACACACCTCCCCCAGTGGCAGCCAGTACCCTTTGAGGCTAGTGGGGAAGAGTGGTTACGAATCAACAGTAGGCAGAACCAGCCAAAGTGGGTTCTGTCCCCTTCCCTCACCACGCTGCAGAAGTGAGGCATTGCCCCATTCACCCTAATGGACCGGCCTCCACTGTCACTCCCCACACCAGATCATGGATGGGGGCCCCCTAGTGGCTACCACTGGATCTGCACTTCTCTGTGAGATTATAAATGTCATCGGCCAAATCCGTTCTTTGTTTCCTGGGATGAAAGAGGACGATGAGACAACCCTGATTTTCCAGGGCTATTGATAGTCTTGCAGCTTGCATCAGCTGCTGATTGACCCCTTATGCACGTTAAAAAAAATCAGAAGATGAAGATGTCTAGGGCTAAATGCAAAACTATTTAATCTTCATACTTTTACCAACAGTGGCATTTGCTCTTCCCCTCCCTTCCCCCCTATTCATAGCTGCCATTGGCGAAGGTAACAAGTTTGTTTGTAGTTTAAGGTGCTGCTGCATCCTGCTCTATGGTTAGAGACTCAGGTCTCCTCCATAGCATGTAGCACCTTTTGTTAGTCTTGGCTTCTGTGCCAACTACAGCCAGCTACGGCTGTTCCTCAAAAACCAGGATTGGGCCACAGTGATCTGATCGCATCCAAGTTAGCTCACTCTCATTCTACGTAGCAGTGCCTTTGAAGACTGTCTGAAAACTTCAGCTGGTCCAAAGACAGACTGCCAGGCTACTGTCAGAGGCTGAATACAGAGATCATACCACATCAGAACATAAGGAGAGCCCTGCTGGATCAGGCCAGTAGTCCATCTAGTCCAGAATCCTCTCCCACACAGTGGCCAACCAGTTCCTCCATGGCATAGAGGTCGAGGCCTTCCCCCGATGTTGCCTCGTGGCTCTGGGATTCAGATGTTTAATGCCTCTGAATGCGGAGGTTCCCCTCAGTCACCATGGCAGTAGCTAGTAGCCATGGATAGACGTATCCTCCATTCATCTGTCTAGCCCCCTTTTAAAACTGTGTATTCCTGTGGCATTACATCCTCTGGCAGCGAATTCCACATTTTAATCACTCTCTTTGTACACACCAAGTAGGATTTCCTTTTGTCCATCCTGAACCTCTTGTGCTGAAAGATCTGCGCCAGTTGCCCATCTTTTTTTGGGGAAATTCAGAGTGCTGCTCCTTGCCTGGAAGGCCAGAAACAGCTTGGAGCTGAGGTACTTGAAGGACCGCCTCTTCCCCTCCTGTCCAGCACATCATTTGAGATCCTCCTCAAAAGCCCTGTTCCCTGTGCCTCTCCCTGCAGAAGCGAGGTGGGTGACGACCAGAGACAGGGCTTTTTCAGTGGTGGCACTTCGCCTGAGAAATGCCCTTCCCGTTGAGGCTTGCCTCAGGGTTGTGCATAGGCCTGGAGAAAAATGTCTTGTCCCTTTAATAGGACTGTGTGTGTGGAAATGGGCAGTTGAAGGTTTTCATGGGATAGAGATAAGCAGTGCCACCTGGTAAACAACGCCCCACTAAGCTTCTGTTAAAGGGACAGGATGCTTGTCTGCCTCCTGTTGTGCTGCTGTTGATACCACCCCAGATTCTGCCACCTGGAGGGAAATGCTTTGCTAGGGCCTCCTCTTAGAGTCAGCAATGAATAGGCAAGGAGAGAGCAGTCCCATTTGAGGGGCCTTTCCTAGGTCTGGGCTGTTTCCTTTGTGCCTCATGCCTTTGCTCCTCTCTCCCCTCTCCCCTCAGATACACACCTCAGGCCTTCTCTTTTCTTCCAGTATTGATGACTCAACCAAGTATGTCAACTTTTCCATGGGGCACGAAAATGGAAACCAGACAGTTGAACATCATTATGAGGTGAGGGGGGCACAAAGAGATAAAACGCTGTAGGATGAGGGACATGGCAGCTATTAGGGGGACTGATCTCCAGGCGGGGCCTGAAGTTCTCCCAGAATGACAGCTGACGTCCAGACTGCAAAGATCAGTTTCCCTGGAGGAAAGGGCAGCTTCAGAGCATAGACTGTATGGGACACCAGTTCAGGGATTTCCTTTCTCCTAGACTCTGTGTTAAACCATAGAGCCTAGGTGAAATGGAAATCCTAGAGAGGGCTAATATACTGTTTAGGCTGTACATTATACCAAAGAGAATTGGTGAAACTGACCGAGGCTACAAATGATGTACAGTGGGGGAAAGGGCAGTGGGAAATATGAGGTGGGAAACTTCAAATTTGACTTATGATGGGAAGAAGTGACCTTACCTGAAGGGGAGGAGTGGGAAGGGCTGACCTTAGAGCTGGATGTGCCATCAAAGAAGTGACACTGAGCTCCTTCCTATCCCCGATCTCTGCCCTCCCCAGGCAGAACCCCAAATCTCCAAGGACTTCCCTAGCAGCACACTAGAAGTGTGGTGTGCAGAGGTCATTTCGGGGGGGAACGCGGAGGAACGCAGTTCCCCCGGGTGAGGTGCAGGGAGACGGGGCACATGACGAAGCCCCGCCCCCTGCTTCCGGCCGCCCCGCTTCCGGCCCTCATTCAGCCAGGAGGAGGCAGGAGAAGAGGGAGGGTAAGTTGCTTCCTCCCCGCCTCTCCCCACCCCTGCCTGCCTGGGGCCAGGGAGGGCCTTGGCGGGGCTTCCTCACACTCCCGCTGGCCTTGCAGGTCCACCGCCGGGCCCCTGATGTCAGGGGGTGTGGCATATGCTAATGAGTTATGCTAATGAGTTCCCCTAGCTCTTTTTTGATGAAACGACCCCTGGTGGTGTATGTAAACTTTTGAAAACAGCACAAAGTTTTTTAGTTAGAGGCAAGAGTGGAAAGAGCGTTAGGACTTCTGACTTCCCCTTCACACTTTACTACGTTTCTGCTTCTCGTTTAGGTGAGGAATTCAATTCGGCGACAAGTTCCTGTCTCAGTGACGTTTGAGTTCCCCGTGCAGCTGAACGGGATGTGGGTTTGGAATGCATCTGTGGACATGTCTACCGAGGTGTGTCCCTCTGAAACTGTGTCGATGGGATTACTCTGTGTTAGTGAAACTAGATCAAATACTAAGGGGCAGAAAATGGATAGAGAAATGATGTTCTCTCCCTCCATCTTGTATAATACTGTCTTGACCACACAAAGTGCTGTAGATGCAGGAAAGGCAAAGCAAAGTCATTTTTCAGACAACACAATGAACGAGTGACATTTGCAGTGCAATCCTAAACAGAGCGATGTGCATCTAAATTCACTGAAGTCAATGAGCTTGGAAGGGCGTCATGTTGTTTAGGATGGCACTGTGGGTGCTACAAGGTGCTGGGATGGCCACTGGTGTAGGGGGCTTGAAAGGCACACGACTCCACGGAGGATTGGATGGCATTTCCACATTTGGTGGTGGAAAGTGCTGTCAAGTCACAGCTGGCTTCTGGCAACCCCGGAGGGTTTTCAGGGCAAGAAACGTTCAGAGGTGGTTTGTCATGGCCTTGCCTGCCTCTGCGTAGCAACCCTTGACTTCCTTGCTGGTCTCCCATCCAAGTCCTGACTGGGGCCGACACTGCTTTGCTTCCAAGATCTGACGAGATCAGGCTAGCCTGGGGGCCATCTAGATAAGGGGCACTTCCATGTTTAGCTACCAGCATCTGGGGACAAGAAACGGGGGATGGGTATCAGCATCATACTCTACTTGTGGGCAGTGTTCCCTCTAAGCTGAGTTACTGTGAGCTAGCTCACAGTTTTCTAGCCTCTGGCTCACACGTTTTCGTCTTAGGAAGGATGGTTCCAGAGCTAACTAATTTATGCCGTAGCCAAATCGCTCGCTCACAACTTTAACGCCAGTAGCTCACAAGGTAGAATTTTTGCTCACAAGACTCCGTAGCTTAGAGGGAGCATTGCTTGTGGGCTTCCCAAGAGCATCCGACTGGCCTCTGCTAGCTGGTGACAGACGACTGCTTTCCTCCAGCAAGGCAGCTCTTGTGTGTTCCTATCCAGCTGCTAGTTCTGTGCTCACCGTCACTTATCAGGGGTTACATTCTGATCCCCTTTCTCAAAGCAGGAAGAGGTTGCAGGCTGGTCCAAAGCAAAATCCCAAATACCCACAAAATCCATGTGAAATCTTTTATCGGGACCGACCAAAATGACACAAAATAGGGTGTGAGCTTTCGAGTTCTCCAGAACCCTTCACCAGCATGAGGAAGTGTTGTGGAGAACTCAGACGCTCGCACTGCGTTTTGTGTCGCTTTGGTTGATCCTAAAAAAAGGTATTGTGCATAGGGTTTTTTTTGTTTGTTTATGCATTCTTGCTCTCTTTCTGTTTTCGCTTTTTTCCCCCCCAAATTTTTTTATTCAGGATATAAACATTCATAGCCAACATTAAATTTTCTACATTTGTCCCCGTTACACCCTACCCTCCTCCCTTTTCCCCTCCCTAGTATACGGCTTCCCACAGTGCTTCGACCTCCTACATATTCACTTCTTTTCTATTTTTTAATATATCAATTTTCTTTTTGTAGTTCACTAGGTAACTGTTATTTCACTATAGCAATTAATTTTTTTACTTATCCTATCTCCCAAAAATTCTATACTTAATAATTATTAAAACAAAATAGATTGTCTTTTGCTTCCCAATACTTTTCTAAGTATTCTTTTAGATCCTTCCAGTCATTATAGAAATCTTCTGCTTCCATATTATTCAACTTTCTTGTCAGCTTGTCCATTTCAACTGAGAATCTTTCTGTTTTTGCTTTTGATCCACACTCATGCAATGGCTGGAGTTAAACTGCGCGAATGGACTTTATCAAGCCAACTACTCTGTGTGGCTAAACAGGGGCCCCTGTTTCCCCAAGCTCAGAAGTAGCTCCCCCCCCCCCCCCGGGCCCTATTACGGAAAAGGCTTCACATACCCCTAACTAATGCCAAAATCTCTGTTTTTTAAATTTCCTCAGCAATTCCACCAGGCTCACTGTGCCCTTGAAAAAAAGACTCCTGGGTCCAAGGATTTTGTGAATCAACTCCACAATCGAGCTGTTCTGGTGAATACCCCCTCCCCGCCTTCCCACCTGCTCGGTCCCCCGTAATGCCAGCAGCCTCATTTTCAGAGGCAACTGGGCTGGCGGGGGACCCTTGGTAGGCCTTAGCCCTGGGGGGGGGTCAAGGGTGTCCATGCACAGTCCTCCCTGACCACCTTTGTCTTTCCCTCGTCCTCCCAGGACTGTACTGTGGCCGCCTGCGAAACAATCCGCTGCAACATCCTGTCCCTGGAGCAGGGGCGGCCGCTGGAGTTCAGGATCAGGGGGGCTCTTGGCTTCGGGTGGCTGTCCCAGGTAAGGTGGCCGCTGCTGCTGGGGATGTATTGGGCCTGGGAGGGAGAGCGAAGAGGGGCCCTTTCCTCCTTAAGCTGTTAACATCCTCCTGCTGTGCTCTGCCACAGTTGCCTCTCAGAGCCAGCGGCCATGAGCTTTTAGGATCAAGAAGATGCGGGGGGGGATTGGGGGGGGTTGCGGGTAAAAATGTGGCTGTGCGTCAAATAGTGGGGAAACGGAGCTGTACAACCGGGGAAAACAACTGCTTCTGCGGGATTGGTCTGGATTTCCTGCCCTGAGCAAAGGGGCTGGACTCGGTGGTCTACAAGGACCCTTCCAGCTTTAATGAGTTTGTGCTGCCCCCAGTCAGCATTATCTGTAGTTTAGTAAAACTGCTCTGTATCTTTAAGACTTGTGCACCCTGGGAATTGGAGTCCACAGTTAGGGGTCCCAGAAGCTTCCCTCTGACTGGCTCATTAAGAGCAATTTCCTGAGCTCAGAGGCGCAAAGATAGAAGTTTTATTGTTCTTTTCCGTTTCTTTGATCATCATCCCTTACGGCAAGGAGAGGGGAAGCCCATCTCTTTCTCACTGCGGCTATTGAACTAACCTAGATCACAAGATGTAACAGAGTTGATGAGACTAAAATGATATAAGCTGGATGGGCCAGGCTAGCCTGAACGCCTCAGATCTTGGGGGCGAAACAGGGTCAGCTGGGACTTGTGGCCAATCAATCAATCAATCAATCTCTCCTTATATATAATTGAATAGTAGGTGCCAAAGTTCTAATTCTAAAATGCACTCCCTTAGTGTATGGCTGATGGCACTGCTCCTCAGCATATATCGCCACCAATCAGAAGGCAAAGCCCGGGTCCCGCCCACACCACAACTGCTGCGACAACCTGGTCTTTTGCATATGGAAGCTGATTGGACTTCAGTCCATTCCACACCTCAAACTCCCCACCCCCCGCAAGGCAGTTGGAATTTTCAGTTGCATAACATACCTCATAGGGGAGAGGAGAATGAGTAACAATGGTTACCACTCTCCAGGTGAGGGCTACAGATAACTCAAACATACAAACGCTCTTCAGGTAGCAGAGATCAGTCCCTCTGGAGAAAACAGTGGACTCTGTCATTAAACCCTGCTGAGGTCGCCACAGGAAACTGACACTGTTTGCCCAAAGCCAGAGCACTCTCCCAGAGCCTCTTTCTAGATCCCGTTGTATTTATTTCCGCAACGGGCATTATTTCTAGTAATGATATAAAGCGAGGGGTGCCAACTCTGGGTTGGGAAATCCCTGGAGATTTTGTGGGTGGAGCCTGAGGAGGGCGGGACTTCAATGGGGCTATAATGCCATACACACACACACATACCCTTCCAAAGCAGCCATTTCCTCCAGGGGAACCGATCTCTGTCGTCTGGAGAACACTTGTAATCCCCAGGTGCCTCCAGGCCCCGCCCTACAGGCTGGTGACTTCATACAAAGCTGATGTGGGTTTCTGGTGTAGACTGTAGTGATGCTCAGAGCTAGCTGCGCATCTGGAATTTTGCACCCAAGCAGGCAGAGAGCCCTTCTTGATCCTCGTCCGACAAAACCTCCCCGGCAAACAGCCTCTTAGCGGGTTTCTTGCCTTCTCTCCCAGACCCAGCAGAAGAAAGTGGCCGTGCAGAGCACGGCACAAATTTTCTACGATGACACAAAGTACAGCCAGAAGGAGGGCTTTATAAAGAGCCAGGTAAGGAGGAGGGGCGCCAGTTGCAGGAGGAGGGTGCGGCCGAGGCTCAGAGGGAATCCCAGCTCTCACCCCCCCCCCCTCTTCTGTAGCTCTGGGTGAAGAGGGGGGGTGGCTGCGGAGGTGAGGGCGCCTCTCACGGTTTGATCCTCTCGTGCTGTAGTTGAACACGGTGGTGGAATACCTGGAGGTCTACAACTACCTGCCTGTCATTATCGGCAGCAGTGTGGGGGGGTTCGTCCTCCTGGCTTTGATCATCGCTGCCCTGTACAAGGTGAGCACCGGGGGAGCTCCGGCTGGGGCATTCAGGGTGGCCACTCTTGCTCGAGCCAGACGTCAGGAGCAGGGCCCGCCTGGAAGAAAGGGGGAAAGGGCTGACACCCCACACAAGGTGGCCAATGGTGCAGCCATAAGGCTTAACTAGGGGGAGGGGCCATGGCTCAATGGCAGAGCATCCGCTTTGCATGCAGAAGGTCCCAGGTTCAATCCCCAGCGCCTCCAGTTAAATGAGTCGGGGTGCAGGTGATGTGGAAGACCTCCGCCTGAGACCCTGGAGAGCCCCCTGCCAGTCTGAGTGGGCAATACGGACCTTGATGGGCCGAGGGTCTGATTAGGCATAAAGCAGCTGCAGGTGACCTTTTCCCCTGGGATGCCACGGGTTCTGGAGTTCTACACTTCCCAGATGCCGGCCCCAATTCAGATCGGGACCATGGAGCACGGGGAGAGGGAGCTCAGGCCTTTCCCCCCATACCATTTCCCCCCTGGGAGCCACTGCTTGCTTCACTGGGGAAGTATGACGTGGAGCCCCCAATGGGCCAAACACTGGCTTCCTGGGGCCATTTCTCATTGGGAAAATGGCACGGGGGACAAAGGTCTCCTCTTCCTCTTTCTGCCCACCATGGTCCCAATTCTCAGTCAAGCCCATCCACACCTGGGAAGTATGGAACACTGGGGTGCAGGCCCATAGCTAACGTGGGACCTGTGCTGCCCCCAGCCAGCGTTTGAGACTGTAGTTAAGCAGATATCTTTAAGAGCAGTGGTTCCTGGGAATTGAAGTCTTTAGTTAGACATCCCACAGCATCCGGCACACAGAGGCGCGCGAGGGTTCGAGTTTTACAACTCTCTTCCTGTAGCCTTTGTTCTGTATAACCGGCAAGGAGTGGGGACAAGCCTCCTTTTCACTGTTCCGTCTGACGCTTTGTCAGCAAACGCCTTCTGGACGTGATTCAGTGCATGAGCCAGAGAACAGAATTAGCTGTTTTGTGGGCCCCTCCCTCCAGCCCCTTCACCCCCTGATCAATCGCTTCACGAATATAAGCCGGCATCTCCCCGTTTGAGCTCATCTGCGATGAGCTGAGTCCCTTTAGGACCCAGCAGCAACCGGTGGTTGACGGAGTCACACACACACACACTGGTCAGATTGCCGCAGTTCGCTCCTCCTGTTGGATTTTCTGCTCCAGGCTTCGGAAAAGATCGTCGGCTCAGGGAAGGAGGGAGGGAGGAAGCTTTGATCCCTGCTCTCCTTTTTTCTTTTTTTTTAACACGGCAGCTTTCCTAGACCTCTGAGGAGCCTGAGTGTCTATTAACATTGGGATTCTGGCTCGCCTCAGAGGAAGGCTCTAGTGGGGGGGCTGTGTGGGTGCGCACCAAGCAGACCCCCCCTTGCCCAGGAGCCTTTGATTTAATTAACTGGTGGGGCCCCCCAAGGCCCCCTCCCCCCAAAAAAAACCCTCGCTACGGGGGGGCTGCTGGGGTGCCTCTTTTGAGCCAGCCTCCTCTTCTGACTTTTGTCCCCCCCTTCTCTTTCCAGTTCGGGTTCTTCAACAGACAGTACAAGCAGATGCTGGATGAGGCAGGAGAGGGCGATGCAGGGGCCGGGCCTCCCCCAGGCAGCGACAGTGGCCCTGGCCCTCAAGCTGCCAAGGCGTAAGGGATGCCACAACCCCCCTCTTCGCTGGGCTCTCTTCTGGCATGCTCCGAACACCCGTCAGCCCTATGGGACCTTGCGCTGAGCAAGTAGGAACAGGCGTCAAGCCGAGGGTGCATTTTCCCTATGCGGAAAGCGGTTTGATACAGGGAATGATCACCTACTTGTGTGAGATTGACAAATTGCATCAGATTGCAACTTCACCTTTAGATTAGGGTATGTATGTTTATTCTGCACCCATCTTTGTTTTGGAACTAATGAGGAACTTGGTGCAGTTTTAATAAAGAATACAACCAAAAGACAGGGTTCTGGCTCTTATGGTGAGATTTTAGTTGTGAAGAACTAAGCAGAACTTCATTGCATTTGGGAGGGGAAACATGAACGCCTCCCAACACTTCTCCCCCCCCCCCCAGCAATTATTCCCTGGTCCCTGCCCTGGTCATCTCTGCCCCGCCTTCTGTCTTCCTAATTCTTGCATGGGAAAAAGGAACATCTCAGATTTTCAAATACCTGGATCATGGAAGAAGAAATAAGTAACTAAATGCAAATATTCTTACTTTCCATAATTGTGGCTACAGAATTTAAATTCTCAGGCACGACATTTGGCTAATTTTTTTGTGTGTGACATTTTGGAGGCAGATTTTCAGTCTGAAATTTGCTACAGCCCTGCGACGACTAGATCCCACGGATGTTTATTTCACTCTTCGTCACGCTGCATCTTGGGTTCTGTCGTTTTAATTCAAACGTCAACATTTTTAAAAGATGCAGGGCAAACACAAGCAAGTGCATTAAAATATCTAACGATAAGCACAGGAAAGTGCAAACTGGACCCGTTTAAATCCAGCCCGTTTTCAGCAGTAACTGTGAAGGGTGGTCCAGGAAAAGGAAGTTCAAGCAAGAAGTCCTCTTGGGGGTTTTGCAAAGGAGTCCTGGGCTAAAAGCCATTTCGTACGGTAATGCACTACCCGTCCTCAGTTGCTTACTGGTGGGCCTTTTGCTCACTGAAAATTTGGCAGAAAGCTGATGCTTTCCCCTCCCCCCCCCCCAAAAGCTCCCCCAATGAACACCAGGGAGAAGTTCCATCAGTCCAACTGTGTTTTTATTGTCTCCAGTCAAGATCTGTCTCAAAGAAGTGATGCGCACGGATAGGGGTTTGTGCCCCTCTTCCAGTCAGTGGCAGAGCAAAAGAAAATTTCAGTGGTGGCCACCTCCATCTTCGTAGCCTGTGGGCAGTGGGTTGGTATGAGGGTTATGGAAAAGAGTGTGGTTTCCATCCCCCCAGGGGAAAGGCTAGAAAGGGAGAGAGAGGCGTTGAGAGAGAGATGATGCCGCCAGTCCCCCCACCATTCCCCTCCCCTTCCTGTCTTTACCAATCAGATCAGGGCAAGGAGACCCTGTAGCCAGTGACCAGGCCTCACCTGCCGGATGGAGTCTTACCTTTGTTCGGATGCGTAGGTGGTGATAAGGGATAAATTCGGGCCGTTCTTGTGGATGGTTCTGCTTTTGCAGCCAGGCGTTCAGCATGCACACAGCCACGCCAGGAAGCGCCACCACAAAGCTCAGGATCTTCCAGGTCCGGCCTGCGCCACAGACAAGGAAGGTAGGATGTTCCAAGACACACCTTCCCCCCTACAGCTGACAGCCCCACCAGTTGCCTGAAGGACGTGGGTGTGGAAAGGCAGTACAGTGCCCCCTAGTGTTACCCTGAGCCACAAGCATAACTCCTGACTCCCAGGGGAGTGGGTCAGCAGTGCCAATGTTCCCTCTAAGCTGTGGAGTCTTGTGAGCAAAAAATCTACTCTGTGAGCTACCGGCATTCAAATTGTGAGCGAGCGATTTGGCTGCTGCATTGAACCAGTTTGCTCTGGAGCCATCTTTCCTGAGCTAGGGCATAAAACATGTGAGCCGGAGGCTAAAAAACGGTGAGCTAGCTCACACTAACTCAGCTTAGAGGGAACACTGGCCAGCACCCCCTGGCAAGCTTTCGCCCTGTTGTTCCTCATTGCACGTACCCTGCGACAGACAAAGGTCGTTCTCAAGGTCTCTGGCTGCAACCTGTTCTGCGATCCAAAAACGGCTGCCTGACATCTGAGTCCCAGGATCTTTCTCAAAGAACAAACTCAGAAGGAAAGCAAGTGGGCACTGCACTCCAGCTAAAGGGAGAGGGGAGGGGTGGAGGGGTGGGGAAGGCACCTTGGAGAGCTGGATGATGGGGGACGATGTAGGCCTAGTGGGCCTCCAGAGACGCACCCCCTCCAAGATCCTAAGCAAACATGTATCTCCACAGTGCTCAAGGAAACGGACTGCGCACCTGGTGGTGGCAGTGGTGGGGACCTATTATCTGACACCAACGTTTTGGCAGTCGGGGAAAGAGAGTAAAGCCTATCCAGGGGTTTTTACTTGGTGTAATTAAAAAATGGCGCACGCTTTGCCCTGAACCTGCAGGATAGGGCAGGTCAAAGAAATTCACCAACAGAACTAAGAACACTCTGCCCCCGCCCCCCGGTGCCCTTACGGAGTCCACTTACTGCCCGACCCATCACCGTGGTGCCCGGAGGCTGCCGCCGTTGCTAGACTTCGCCCCTTTGCTGCCAGCTGAGCTGCCCTCCTCCAGGGAGTCATCGCTGAAAGACAGGGATGCCGAGAAACCTCGCCAGCCAGAGGGGCTCGACTACGGAGGACTCTTCACCTTCACGGTGGCCTGGCTGGTCTCTGCCTGCTCCTGGGTCGGGGCCTTCCTGCGCAGCCCCTCCGCCCCTTCCCTCCCCCAGCAGCATCCCCCAGACCTGACAGCCACGGCCACCTGACCCTGCTCTGGCCAATGAACCCGTCGGATAAACATAACCCGGTCCGGGCATCCGCCAAGAAGGCCGTCACCCAACCCACGTTGAAGGACCAAGTCTGGCCTGAGGCCCGGGAACCGACCGCCCACCCCCTCCCCCTTGGATTCCTGGCAACTATTTATAGACTGAGTCAAGTGCCCATGAAGGGTCCAGTCTCTGGAGAGCGTCTTCAGGGAATACACCAGCTGGGTTGGGGGTTGAGGTCCCTTGAGCACGTTGCACACAACCTCATCTAGTAATTAAGGCTGAACTCTCATTTCTCTGCAGCTTTATTGTATATTGAAACTGGTCTTTTGAGAAAGGTGGATTTTTTTTGGGCAGATTCCTTATTCAATCGGGAAACCAACTGCTGCCCCCTGCTGGACACATCTGCTCATGTCTATGACTTCTTAGCCCCGTTCTGTAAAAGGAAAGGGTTACAGGACAGTTTCAAGTTCAAGCTCAGCTACCTTAGGGGAAGTGCACCAAGGTAGACCATGCCCATTTCCCATGTACACTGTAATAATCAGGGGTCATTTCCTGCAGGAGCGCACAGGAGCAGAGCTCCGGCAGGAAAGAGCCCAGGGGGCGGGCACAGGCAACAAGCCCCACCCGCTGCTCCCAGCAGCCCTCAGTCAGAGCAAGAAGCAGCCAGGTAAGTTGCAGAGCCCTCCCGGCCCCCCAGTCCAAAACAGTCCAGTGGCACCTTTAAGACCAAGTTTTATTCAGGTACAAGCTCTCCTTCTGCGAGGACAGATCTGCACGGTCTTCCCCCCCCCCCCCCGATAGCTAGCAATCCAAAACAGTCCAGTGGAGCCTGAGCGGTGGGTGTTGCCTTCTGACACACTTCCGGTGATGTCAGGGGGTGTGGCCTATGCAAACAAGCTATGCTAATGAGCTCCTGCACCTCTTTTTCTACGAAATGACCCCTGGTAATAATAATTCACCACTGCTTATTTTGTAATAATTTATTAGCTGCCCAGGGGAGCAAAACACAACTCTCTCCAGTTTTATTTGGAATTTCCATTAATCTATTAGAACGGTAAGAGCTGCGTGTGAAGGGTTAGCAAAACAATTGCAAGCAACCCCAGACATGGGTTCCTACTGGGAGGGTGTTCTTGGGATTGCAACCAACATGTCTGAATTCGAGGGGTTACATTACAGGGGTGATCATTAACCACTCACCCCAGCACATGCCTCACTAAGGAGTTAGATCTGTCTGGACTACACTGGAGGGGTGTTGTAAGGCACCTTCTTTCGGCCACAGAGCCCACCACACAATAAGGAAAGGATGACATTTCTGGACCTCATTACCAGGTTGACAATACATTACTCTGTCTCAACCACAACCACCCTCCCCATATGTGGGTAATAATACTGGGCAGTTTGTGTCACACTTTTTAGTAGAGGAAAGAAGAAAAAGAGATTGGAGTTATACCCTGCCCTTCACTCGGGGACTCCGAGTGGCTTACAATCTCCTTCCCTTCCTCTCCCCACAACAGACACCCTGTGACGGAGGGGGGGCTGAGAGGGCTCTGAGAGAATTGCTCTTGAGAGAACTGCTCTGAGAGAACTTGTAACTGACACAGGGTCACCCAGCTAGCTGCATGTGGAGGAGTGGGGAATCAAACCTGGTTCTCCCAGATGAGAGTTCACGCTCCTAACCACAGTGAGACTTAAAAAAAAAAAAATCACACTCACAATGCTTCCCATATGCAAAGACAGAGTTTGAAAGTGCCACAACATTTCTGCCAACGCACTACCGCAACAAAGTCCTGGGGCTGGATCCAGCCAGCTTTTCGGCTCCATCTCACCCAGGTCCCCTCCCTCCTGCAGCCCAGGGGTCCCACGTGGCTTTTGTGGACACAGCTCCTTTGATCCTTTTTGGGTGGGCAAACGGGATCCTCCCCGTCCTCTTCCACGAGCGCCCCGGTCAAGTGTCAGAGGACCCAGGAGGGCTGTTAGTAGACATTGCCTTTGTCGGGGGGAGAGGAGTCGGTGCCTTCCTGGGCGGGGGACGGGGCTCCGTCGCCCTCCCCGGCATCACTCAGCATCTCCTTATACTGACGCTTGAAGAACCCCACCTGGAATGACAAAAGGGTTCGGTCAGAGGGAAAGACGGGTCTCCGTCACACAATAACATCGATAGATGCGAGATTCGAGTCCAGTCGCGCCTTGGAGACCAACAAGATTTTGTGGGTGTGAGCTTTCGAGCTTTGCCGGGGAGTGCTGTTGACTCTCCAAAGTTCACACCCCCAAAATCTGGTTGGGCTCTCGGGCTCTTCTGGGCTTGAACCCAGCTGCTCTACTGGAGACCAACATGTCTACCTTCTGAAACCCTCTAGACCTCTTGACACCTTTAGAGCAGAGGGTTAATTACAGTAGATAACTCACTGAAAAGGTGGAGACAGTGTGTGACTGCAATAAAGAAGGCCAATGCTATGCTGGGGATTATTAGGAAGGGTATTGAAAACAGATCAGCCAATATCATAATGCCCCTATACAAATCAATGGTGAGACCTCATTTGGAATACTGTGTGCAGTTCTGGTCACCACACCTTAAAAAGGATATTATAGCTTTGGGAAAAGTGCAGAAAAGGGCAACTCGAATGATAAAAGGGTTGGAACACTTTCCCTATGAGGAAAGGTTAAGGCGCTTAGGGCTCTTTAGCTTGGAGAAACGACGACTGAGGGGTGACATGATTGAGGTTTATAAGATTATGCATGGGAAAGAGCAGGTAGAGAAAGAGGTACTTTTCTCTCTTTCTCACAATGCAAGAACTCGTGGGCACTCCATGAAATTGCTGAGCGGTCGGGTTAGAACAGATAAAAGGAAGTACTTCTTCACCCAAAGAGTGATTAACACATGGAATTCACTGCCACAGGAAGTGGCGGCGGCTACAGGCATGGACAGCTTCAAAAGGGAATTAGATAAGCATATGGAGCAGAGGTCCATCAGTGGCTATTAGCCACGAGGTATAGATAGGGGCTCTGGGGCAAGTGATGCTCTGTCTTCTTGGTGCTTGGGGGGGGGGTCAACAGTGGAAGGGCTTCTAGTGTCCTGGCCCCACTGGTGGACCTCCTGATGGTACCTGGTATTTCTGGCCACTGTGTGACACAGAGTGTTGGACTGGATAGGCCTTTGGCCTGATCCAACATTGGCGTCTCTTATGTTCTTATGTTCTCCATGTTATCCTTACAACAATGACCCTGCAAGGTATGTTAGGTTGGGACAGTCACCAAGCAGCCTTCCAAGGCAGAGTGAGGATTCAAACCCAGGCCTCCCAAATCATAGGACAACACTCTGACAACTGTACCACCCCAGCTCTCGTGTCCTCCAATAGGGTTGCCAGCCCTGGGTTGGGAAACACCTGGAGATTTGGGGGGGGGATGTGGAGCCCTGGGGAGGGGAGGGACCTCAGCAGGGTCTAATGCCACAGAGTCCACCTTTCAAAGCAGCCATTTCCTCTGGGGGAGCTGATCTCTGAAGTCTGGAGATCAGTTGTAATTGCTGGAGGTCCCCAGGCCCCGACTGGAAATTGGCAAACAAAACAGCTAACAGAACAAACATACACGCAAACGGATTATCTGCACTGAACTTTTGTGCCAAGTAACAAATGTGGATGCCATCTGGCCACAATTTCTCCAGGGGAACTGATCCCTGTCACTGTAATACTGGGAGATCTCCAGGCTGGCAACCCTAACTCATTTACCAGGAAGCCCTTTGACCAAAACCCAGATGTCTAGTGACCGGTTAGAATCACTCCAGTGGTGAAAAAAACATACTCCGAACATATGCAGAGAAACTCTCTCCTCTGCCATTCCACACCTGTCAACACATTCTAAGTTCTAAACCCCCTTCCCTTCCCAATCTCTCTTGAGCGCCGTCTCACCTTATAGAGGGCTGCAGCAATGATGGCCAGAAGGACAAGCCCTGCAAAGGTCCCCCCAAGGATGGCAGGCAGGTAGTTGTAGACCTCAATGCGCTCCACCACTGTCTGCACCTGGGGGGGGGGGACAGTGGGGCAGTCATCACACAGACAGGCAATAGCAGTCACCCCCACTAGACCAGTTCAACCCTAGGGATGGGCATAAACCAGATTTTTGCGGTTCGGTTCATGGTTCATGGCTGAATCATGAACCTATACGAACTGGGAGGTTGGTTTGTGAACCGAACTAGTTCATATGGGTTTGTGACCCCTGCTTTCTGCTCCCCGCTGCTTTTTGCAGGGGGCAGAAAGTAGTGGTTTAAATGAAGAACAGAAAGTAGGGTTTAAATGACTTGGAGCCATTAAACCCCTGCTTTTTGCTCTCCATGAAGCTCCACGAACTGCATCAAGATTTATTAGAGTTCATGGTGGCTCTTCAGTTCGAGAACATCGTTTCACAAACCATGAACCACCCTAAATTAATCACAAACTTTAGTTTGTGAGCCAGTTCATGCCCATCCCTATTCAGCCCACTCCCCTCCGAGGCCTCTGCCCTTGCTTGTTAACAATCCTAAGTTATACCCCCAATTCCAGAAAAAAAACCGGGCTCAGAGTTCCCACAGTGGGCGATGCTCCCTCAGGCCCTCTCGTTACCTGCTGGCTCACAAACCCCTCCTTCTGGGTATATTTTTGATTGTCGTAGGAAATTTGCGCAGAGCTCACTAGGATCAGTTTCTGCTGTTGTGTCTAGAAGGTGGGGGAGAAAAGTGTCCTGTGAGACAGGAGTCAAATCCTCAGCAGGCTCCGATGGACAAGAATCAATCAGGAATTGTGGGCATTCGGCCTGTTGGCTGAGATCAAACACGATAAGGAATTGTGGGTTAAAAGAAGGATGCTTTGCTGGACATTCAGGTGCGGCTGACTCTGGGGTGGAGCGCATTAAGGTTCTGCTGGTTAGAAGTTTCCTTCTCCCACCCAATGCCTTTAATAGGGTTGCCAGATCCCCCCTGGCCACCAGCAGGGGATGGGGGTGGGGTGGGTAGGGTTGCTGTACCACAATGTACCACCAAATGTACCACCACCGAAAACGCCCTGGCTCTGGTGTGGGACAACATCCAGGTTGGGAAACTCCTGGAGATTTTATTTATTTATTTATTTATTTATTTTGCGACTTGTATCCCGCCCTACACATAGTGTCTCGGGGCGGCTAACAAATAAGGTTTAAAAATATAGGACAATAAAACAATGTTACATAACGTATTAAAAACGGTGCTGCAATAAATTACTTAAAATACCCAAGATGCGCAACAATCGCATTGATGGCAGATTGTCTTAAAAACATGAGCGCCAGGAGTGTTGTTTCCAGGCTCAATCGGGCGACACCCACCGCTCCCTCACACTGCGGTAGGTGGAAGATGGCATCTCGGTGATAGAATAGTGGCGGTGGCGGCTCCTACTCGAAGGCCTGGCGGAAGAGCTCCGTCTCGCAGGCCCTGCGGAACTGTGCAAGGTCCCGCAGGGCCCGGATCTCCTCCGGGAGCTCATTCCACCAGGTAGGAGCCACCACCGAAAACGCCCTGGCTCTGGTGTGGGACAACCTGGGGGTGGAGCCTTGGGAGGACAGGGACCTCAGTAAGATGTAATGCCACAGAGCCCACCCTCCAAAGCATCCATTTTCTCCAGGGGGACTGATCTCTGTAGTCTGGAGATGAACTGGAGTCAAATCCTCGGCAGGCTCCAATGGACAATGGAGGTGCTATCCCTAGCCCTTAACCTACAGTTGCTACCTCTGCCTCAGAAAATTGCTGGGGATTCTGAAGAGGGATCCTTGGGTGGGCGGGGTTTGGGGACGGAGAGGGACATGATTGGAGTACACGGCCACAGAGTCCACCCTCTAAAGCAGCCATTTTCTCTGGGGGAACTGATCTCTGCAGTCTGGTGATCAGTTGTCATTCCAGAGATCTCCAGGCTGGAGCCCCACCTTGACAAAAGCTTCCGTACCTGAGACGCCCACTGGAAACTGATGTTGCCCTTGACTGTGAACTCCACCGGCTGCCACATCTTCAGGGACAGAATGTCACACCGGATTGTCTTGCAGGTAGCCACTGAGCAGTCCTGGACGTAGGGGGAGGAGGAAGAGACCCCGGGGTCAGGCCAAACATACTCATAACAGAGGATGAATGTCCCCAACTAGGGTAGTTGGAATTCCTTCTGGCTCGGAGGAGGAGGAGAAGAGAATGGATTTACACTCCGCCCTTCACTCGGAGTCTCAGAGTGGCTTACAATCTCCTTTCCTTTCCTCTCTCCATAACAGGCACCCTGAGGTAGGCGGGAACGAGAGAGCTCTGAGAGAACTGCTCTTGAGAGAACAGCTCTGAGAGAATGGTGACTGACCCAAGGTTACCCAGCATGTGGAGGAGTGGGGAATCAAACCTGTTCTCCCACATTAGGTCCACACTCCTAACCACTACACCAAACTGGCTCTGAAGATCAGGTTAGCAGCCCTTCTGCCTCTGAAGCTAGGCCTCAATGGGCAGGAAATGCCTGGAGAATGCTCAGCTGAGAGATTAGACAAATATTGGCAAAATCCCACATTACCTAGGCAAATGTATGCTCCCAACCCAAGTCTGGAAAAGGACATGATTGTGCTAGCAAGAAGGCATTTGTAGGGGTGAATCAGTGTAGCGAGTGCTTCTCCCCTTCTGCCTATGACAAGCCCCCCCCCCCCCCCATTTTCTTCTGAAGGTGGGCCGGGGCTCCAGGAGGAGCTGGAGGATACACTCACCACAAGGGGGTGCTTTTTCAGTTTCTCCTCAACATCCTGGTCACCCGCCGTTTCTCTTTCCAAAACACAGGTAGCAAGTTGAGGCTGTGGAAGGAAAGAATTTCAAGAACCCACCGGTGAGGAGAGGAGGAGATTTTCACTGAGGGGTCCCAAACCCCCACCCAGACTCACATTAGGCAGAGCAGTACAAAGTGGGATGTGGACGGGGGGGGGGGGGGCTTATCACCAATGTTCCCTCTAAGCTGTGGAGTCTTGTGAGCAAAAATCCTACTTTGTGAGCTACTGGCATTAAAGTGGTGAGCGAGCGATTTGGCTGCTGCATAAATCAGTTTGCTCTGGAGCCCTCCTTCCTGAGCTAAGACAAGAATGTGTGAACTGGAGGCTAAAAAACTGTGAGCTAGCTCACACTAACTCAGCTTAGAGGGAACACTGCTTATCACCCCGTCAAAACGGAAGGAGGGACACCAGTGTTTCACTGCACTTATCACAGGGGAGCAGAAGACATACCTTGGAGGGGATGACCCGAGACACATTCCAGATCTGTATCCCGTTCAGCTTCTGAGGGATCTGAAATGTGACTAAGATGGGGATACTTCGCTTACGGAGGTTCTTCACCTGAAAGAGAGAGAGGTAAAGCGTGCACAGTCCTGTAGGGCTGCACTAGATTCCAATTTCTTCATTCTGGCCCATCGCTCCTCCCTTGGCGTCTCCAACCGGGACCCTCTTTGCCCTCCCAACCCCCAACCAGCCTTTTACCTCATATCGATGTTCCACACTAGCGCTGGCTTCTCCCTGACTGGATGTGAAGTTGACATACTTGGTAGACTCTTCAGCGCTGGGAGGAAAGGAACACAAGTGGGGAAAGGGTGGGGACCAGTGTTCCCTCTAAGCTGAGTTAGTGTGAGCTAGCTCACAGTTTTTTAGCCTCCAGCTCACACATTTTTGCCTTGGCTCAGGAAAGAGGGCTCCAGAGCAAACTGATTTATGCAGCAGCCAAATTGCTCACTCACAACTTTAATGCCAGTAGCTCACAAAGTAGAATTTCTGCTCACAGGACTCCACAGCTTAGAGGGAACATTGGTGGGGACTCCCAGGAGGACAGAGCAGGGGGATGTCAGAGAGGCTGTGCCCTGGGGGGGGGGGCTGCGAGGGAAGGCCTCCTGCAAGGAGCACTCCCTCCCCTAAAAGACCCGCTGCCACTTACGCCGTGACAATGACGTAGACAGCATATCTGACAGGCAACTCTGCCTGATGAACCATGTCTGCAGTGACGTCGCCACCGTTTTCGCTGGACAAATGGGAAAGAACAAACATGTTAAATCTCTCTCTCTCTCCTTCTCTCTCTCTCTCTGTGGATATCAAACACTATTCATTTCTACCATCTATTGCTTTGTGCATCATATTCCTCATCATGCGCGACATCCGCTCTATTGTCCCACTTCCTGGTTGGTGTGGCTCTTTCCACCGTTCTCCAGCTCTCTTGTGCCACCCAAGAGCGAAACGGAGCATGTCCAAGGTACAATTTCCACTTCCCAGCTTGACTCGTCTGCTGGGGACCCTTTCTGAGTGACGGCATGGAACCCCTGAGCCTTGCAGAGGATTCTGGGACACGTTTGAGAGCAGTTGACATAAGGCCTTGATTGGCCACATCTTCTTAGATTTTCGGCATCACCCCGCAAGGTTTTAACGTCTGTCCTAGGACCCACTCCCTGCTGCACATGGCTGGGGGTGGGGGATGCCTGTAGCAAAAGAGAGTTGCCTTTCGGGAAAGTTCACCTGCCTTTCTGTTCTGTCCACTGAGGAGCTCCAGATAAGCTGGCAGGGATACTCTGGGGTTCTCTGGACCAACGTTTGAAAACAATGTCATTTGTATGCTGCATATTCAAAGGCTGGGCCCATAAAAATAAGACTTACACCTAGAAGCACAGATCGGATCTATGCCCTACACACAAAATTGGGTTTTTCTCCACCACACACCTTCCAGAATACAAAGCTGTGTTTGGCCACATAACAAAATGTGTGTCGCACCTTTTATTGTGGGTGTGTTAAGTGCCGTCAAGTCACCTCTGACTTATGGGGGCCCTATGAATTAATGTCCTCCAAAATGCCCTATCATTGACAGCCTAGCTCAGGTCTTGCAAAACGAAGCCTTTGTGGCTTCCTTTATAGTCAGTCCATCTCATGTTGAAGTCCATCTCATGTTTATAGTCAGTCCATCTCTTTTCCTACTGCCCAACTGTTCCTAGCATTATTATCATTTTCAGTGAGTCCTGTCCTCTCATGAAGACCTTTGATGAGGGCCAACCAAATTAGCACAAAACAGCGCAAACTTTTAAGCTCACCAGAGCCCTTCATAAGAAGAAGAGTTGGATTTATACCGCGCCCTTCACTCAGAGTCTCAGAGCGGCTAACAATCGCCTTCCCTTCCTCTCCCCACAACAGACACCCTGTGAGGTAGGTGGGGCTGAGGGAGCTCTCTCTCGAGAACTGCCCTTGAGAGAACAACTCTGAGAGAACTGTGACTGACTCAAGGTCACCCAGCTGGCTTCACGTGGAGGAGCGGGGAATATTACAAAATATCAAGAAGATAGAACAGTAGAAGGCAGAATTCTCAGGCCATGATCGTGAAGCCTGATCTTACAGGCACCCTTTGTGAGATGCCAGCAGGCAGCCATGTTCTTCACTTTGTGGCTGTGGTGCAGAGTTACAGCATTAAGCAACATGAGAATCACCTGTTGGCTTTGGCCATGATCCGCAGAGTGTCCCCCAGATCAGCATCCAGGGAAACGTCAAATGTGGCGACAAAGGTGGCCTGAAACATAGAAACACATGGAAATCAGTGGGGGTTAGTATAACATGTGTGGGTATTAACACATGTAGAGGGATTTTTACCTACACAACACACTTCCTTCAACATGTGGATGTATGAACGTGTGAAACCGCCTCACGCCATGTCAAACCAGTGGTCAATCTAGTCCAGGACAGACTGCTCTGACTGGCGGGGGCTCTTTCAGGGTTTCAGAAGCAGAGATCTTTCTCAGCCCTTCTATTAGGGGATGCTGAGGACTGAAATTGGGACCTTCTGAATTCAAAGCAGTGGTCCTGCCACTAATAAGAGTCAACCTAGACAAATACATGTGACCCAAGTCAGGACCTGGGTGCCTGGAGTTGACTCGCTGTCACACATATGAACTAGGGAATGTACCTTGAAAGTCCTCCATTTGGCACTGAAGCACTGCGGGGGGGGGGAGGGGTTTCTGGTCTCCCCCAGCCATTTCTGCTGGTGAAAATAGTGTGGGAGGGAAAGCAGAAACTTCACCCTCCTGAAGCTGAACTGAGACTCGGAGCACTTTGAAACTAAGCTCCCCAGTTCATACACGTGCTGGTGAGTTGAGTCATGCACCTGTGTCCTGACTCATAACACATGTAACAACTAGTCTTGCTGTAAACTCTGGCTCCTCTGTAGTTTTCCACTCATCCCTTCTTTCTCAAAAGGCAGTGGGTTTTATTAATGATTTGCTTTGAAGCCTGAAGGCTTTGGGAAGGGTGGTGGTGGCAGCAATATATTTATGGACAGGATTTGAAACCAAATTTGTTTTGGGGAAAGCATGTGGTCTAGCCCCTCCCAGATTGTAACATTTTAAGTGGCAAACTGCATGTTTGAATCTGGTCCTCTCTGAATCTGTATCTAAATAGATAGTTAGATAGCTAAATAAATAGACAGGTATCTAGATAGATATCTGGACAGACAAACAGACAGATACAAGCCTTATCCTTGCATGCAGAAAACAAGCACATTAATGTCAAGTTTAAGCTAAAACCCTTCACCTTGATATGCTAGTTTTCCAGAGGTAAGGGTTATTTGCATTTGGATAGTGCATTCCCTAAGACAATCCCTGAGTGTTCTCTGAGTTAGTGCGTCGCCAGGAAAGCGGTACCATCTCCTTTTTGCCCCCTGACTATGTAGATCAGCCCTAAGCCAGCTGCCATCCTTCCCTCTTCTAGCAATGACTGATGGAGACATAAAGAGGTCCTTACCTCTGCCCCACTCCAGAAGATCGGGTGGTTGATGTTGCAGGTGGCATTTCGCTCAGCATCTTCTTCGGACGCAGGAGCCGAGTTGCATTTCACGCTCATGACCTTCCTGCTGGGCTGGGAAAGGCAAGGCACCCAAAGTTGATGCAGGATGAGGCACACACGTCCCCTACCTTGCCTACCTGGCTTCTTCATGTCCTGGCGCCCCCTCTGCCCCACCCACCTGCAGCAATGTGACTTTGCGGTACGACACTCCTGCTGGGTAGAAGAAGCGCAGAGTGGTGCTGTAGGAGTCCTCCCCATAGTTCTGGACAGAAGCTATCACGTTGAGCTCCGGAGTCAGGCCCACAACCAGAGTGTCCAAACTAAAGAGCAGAGGGACAAGGAGAGGCAGGGAGTCAGTCCGATTATAGCACAGCAACCCCCAGCGTTGCACCTGTGAGCACCGTAGCACACGCTGATGTGTTTCCTGGCACACGCTTCCTTTCCCCCCCAAGCAAAGAGTCCTTCCCTCCATCTCAACTAGAGCAGGAGCTTCTTTAGGAGGGCCCAGGAGGTGTCACCCTTGTGGCTGCAGGCAGCACCTATTCAGAAACAGCCGCGGAACATAAGAAGAGCCCTGCTGGATCAGACCAGCAGTCTATCTAGTCTGGCATCCTGTCTCACACAGTGGCCAACCAGTTCCAACAACAGGACACAGAGGTCGAGGCCTTCCCCTGATGTCGCCTTCTGGCCCTGGTATCCAGAGATTTACTGCCTCTAAATGTGGGGGCTCCTTTTAGTCACCATGGCCAGTAGCCATCGATAGACCTCTCGTCCATGAATCGGTCTAATCCCCTCTTAAGGCCATCTATACCTGTGACCAGTGTTCCCTCTAAGCTGAGTTAGTGTGAGCTAGCTCACAGTTTTTTAGCCTCCAGCTCACACATTGTTGTCTTAGCTCAGGAAGGAGGGCTCCAGAGCAAACTAATTTATGCAGTAGCCAAATGGCTCGCTCACAACTTTGGTGCCAGTAGATCACAAGGTAGAATTTTTGCTCACAAGACTCCACAGCTTAGAGGGAGCATTGCCTGTGACCTCCACTATACCCTCTGATGGCAAATCCCAGGAGGATGCTAAGTTTAGGACCTCCCACTATTTGGTGATTTGCAGGCACGTGTGGCAACCCACTGCCGGTTCTCAAACCCTCAAACCACCCAGAGGTTCAATAATGTCCAGAAGCCACAGATAACAGGGATTGGCCACAGGCAGGGTTTCAAAAAGTCCAATTGAATTAGGCCCTTTCCTCTGACCCCACCCCCAAAAGGAAAGGGACCCATATGGTACCTGCTTTTGTTCCCTGCTTGCAGGGAGTGATTTTATCAGACAAATAGTGTGTGTGTGTGGGGGGGGAGCTGAACCCTCCTCTTCTCCTACCTCAGTGGGTGCTTTCTACTGTCAAGAATAACAGGTTAGTACATCAGGAGAGCCGACCTTGAGCTCAAGCTAGATGAGAAGCTCGACTCTCCCAAGTTGTTTTTCTTTGTAAGCAGCCGGTGGATGGGGGACTTTGTGTGCATCTGTGGATGGGAGGGTTAATCCCCCATGTCATTTTCTCACCCTGAAACGGCCCTGCAGAACTGGACCAAATGCTCAGCCACTCCATCTATGCACTGGGCTTTTTTCACATTCTCATTTTACTTGCTGGTACCTTCCTGTTTCTTCGGGGCTCCCCCCCCCCGTCCCACACATCTTTTGCTCCCTCTAGTGGTTGGTTCGATATCACACAGACTTATTTCCAGCATAAAAACCTGAAGTTTGAATCTGCAGAGAGATATGCTGGAAATAAACCTGTGTGGTATTCAATTGCCCATTAGAGGTATTAAAACTCTTGCAGAACAGGAAAAAAAAACCTGAAGAAACAGGAATTTACCAGCAAATAAAATGAGAATGTGGAAAAACCCCTTTGCCCCAAAGAGGCTGACAGCTATTTCACAGAGCCATTTCTGGAAGATGTCACCGGGGGGGGGGGGGGGAGGTCAGCCACCTCCCTCCCCCACTTTACAGTCTCGGTTCAACTAGGTTCACTGTGCAGCTGCTATTCACAGAGAAAAGACATTTGGAAGCTCTAAACATTAAATGCCCCGCATTTTGTCTCTGATTCAGGGATCTCTTGTGCATCCCGTTGTACTGACTTTTTGAAAACCACAAGGAGGAGGAAATTTTGGATGCCTGATGCCGAACCAAGGAGAACAGGGACAGGAAGAAACAGGGACTTTTTGCCTACCCTGAGAAATTAAACGAGGTTTGCAAACGGTCTTCACATTTCCCGTCAGTGCCGCAGTTCTTTTCAAAGGGCAGCTAAAAAGAGGGGGTATGAAGTTTATCCTGGTCACACAGTGCAGCTCTCCTTGGCACACATTTTCACACCCGCTGCGATATTGCCTTGATGCTTTGGCAGCCGGCATAGCACGCCACACCCATAAAGCCCCTCCAACCCCTTCACCACCACCGGTTCTCCTGCATTTGCTGACTGGTGCATGCAGGCCAGTTGCTTTCTACTCTGCTCGAAGCCCGTCATAAACATTCAGACAAGGGCGCTGGCATCTAATGGGACTATCGGCCTGCTCAGCGACTGAAGTCACGTTTTTGCTGGTTTTGCAGCGATGGGACTTAGAGGACGCTCTGACCTGTGCTATGTAGACTTGCTGGGATCCTTCCCGCAGGACAGGGCGCAGACCTTGGGCTTCAGCAATGGGCATCCCTTGGAGGCTGTAATTGAGCCGTAGGGTAATCGGGGTCAGGGTATCCTTGATGCAGATCTGGGAAACAGAGAGGAGAAGCCCAGAAAGGACTGCGGATCGGCTCAGAGCCCCTTCTGTATAAACACAAGGGCTTTTTGTAGCTGCACAGAGCAGATGACAGAGAAGGCCTGTTTTACATATAAGTTGGGAGCACCAAGATATAGCCAAGTTTGCTGCTGATAATCAAATAAATACTAAAACCCTTTCCATTTTCCATGGGTTTTTTTCTCCTGAAAGCACTCCCTCCATAGCCCAGGTTAGGGTTGCCAACTCTGGGTCGGGAAATTCCTGGAGATTTGGGGTTGACGCCTTGGGAAGGGCTACGGGGAGAGGAGGGACCTTAGAAGGATACGATGCCCTACAGTTCGCTTTCCACTGCCGCTGTTTTCTGAGGTTTTTTTCAGGGAAACTGATCTCTGTAGTCTGGAAATCAGTTGGAATCCCAGGAGATCTCCAGGCCCCATCTGGAGGTTGGCACCAGTGTTACCTCTAAGCTGAGTTGGGGTGAGCCAGCTCACAGTTTTTTAGCCTCCGGCTCACACATTTTTGTCTTAGCTCAGGAAGGATGGCTCCAGAGCAAACTAATGTATGCAGTAGCCAAATCGCTTGCTCACAACTTTAATGCCAGAAGCTCACAAAGTAGAAGTTTTGCTCACAAGCAGTGTTCCCTCTAAGCTGAGTTAGTGTGAGCTAGCTCATAGTTTTTTAGCCTCCGGCTCACACATTTTCGTCTTCGCTCAGGAGGGATGGCTCCAGAGCAAACCAATTTATGCCGTAGCCAAGTCACTTGCTCACAACTTTAATGCCAGTAGCTCACAAAGTAGAAGTTTTGCTCACAAGACTCCACAGCTTAGCGGGAACATTGCTCACAAGACAGCTTAAAGGGAACATTGGTTGGCACCCCAACACCCCTTGGTGCCTTCAAAATTCCCCAGCATTTTATAGCTCGATGCACACCAGAAGTTGGCTGCCCCTCCAATGCAGCCTATCAGAGGCAGGCAGAACCACGTGCTCCAGTGCATGCCATCTCCCCCCCCACCACCCCCAGAAGGGCTCTTATTCCTTAAGCCACACAAGACATGACAGGAGCAGCCTTTTCCCAGCCTGACGTGAAGGGGGGCTACTGCACCAGTTGGATTTCTACCTATCACACAGCTCCAGGCTGCAAAACTAAAAGGGGTGACACGTTTCACACAAACCTATGATAAACCAGCCATGCAGCTGCTCCCTGAGCTTGTGCAAATTAAGCAGAGACTAGGTAGTCCGTTAAAGCATGGGCGCCCTTGGCCATAAAGGCGGATGGGGCACTCCATTCTCCACTGGGGGCAACTCTAGGCCATGCAACAGTGGTGACCTTCGAGACAGACAAAGTATTCCGGTAACAAATCCCATCCAGTGAATGTGTGGCAGGGCAGGGGAATTACACTTGGTGGTCCTGCATCGTGGTCTCTGCATATTCAACTGAACCTGGACAAACAGCCTATTTTAGCTGAACACAGGGGAGTGAGGAATGCAGGACTAGGGGAAATATTCCAATTCCCCCTACACACACATTCACTGGATGGGATCTGTCACCTGGCTGGGGCTTAATAGAGTCAGAGAGCCCAAAAGGCATAGGAATGCTCCCCACACACACACACAAAATATGCATATATATATGCATGCCAAACTCACAGGCAATTCAATCTGGTGATTCTGGCATTTTTGCTCAAGGCCAGTCCGAAAGCCCCCATTCAGAACAGGGGATTTATTGCTGAAAGAGGCACGGATCTTGCTTCTCTCGGAGTCCAGGGCCAGGCCGTACTGAAGGTTACTAAAGACGTTACCTGAGAGGGAGGGGAGGAAAAGGAGCTGGGAGTTACAGCCGGCGTGGTAGAACCACCAAGGAAAAAGTCCACAAGGGGGTCCTGGGGGGGAACCGACGTCTCTTTCTTAATCCCGTTCCCACCCTCAGACACCGCCTGTTCCAGGCGGTGTACAAATGCCCTCTCAAGTCTGCAGCCTTTTACGTCAAAGTGTGTAAAGGCCCAGGTCACACGGGCCAGATAACATTGGGGGGGGGAGGCGTGACTCTTTGCTCCAGCGCAATTAGACCCGCCAGAACGCGATCAGACGCAACGGCGGCACACCGCGGTTTCGTCCGTCAGCGCATGCGCGTCAAGGAAGACAGCCGGGGGAAAGCCGCACGCCGGCGCAATCACATGGAATGATTCCATCAGCAGCCCATGGCAAACCATTTGCTAGTACATTTGTTGAGATACTTTTTAATTGTGCGGCTTCAGCGGCACGCCACGGGTGCACTACACTTGCCAAATGTTGCGGTGTGATCGTGCCCTGAAAATCTGCCCAGCATTCGTGGCTCTCCCGCGGAAAATTTGGCGTGTGAACAGGGCCTTAAAATGCCTTAGAGGCATCTCTTAGAGTTCATCTCTTTACTGCCTAGTCCCGTCCTCTGCTGGGGACTGGTTTAGAACTATACGGCAAGCTCATGTTTTGTTTGTTCATGCTTAAGCACTGCCTGCTTATCTAGCCCATATTATTTGCTACTTCCAAGTAGATCTTTCTGATGGTTTTGTATTCCACATCTTTGGCATATGTATCCATGTGTCATGCACCTGACTCCATCTGTAATTTGCTTCTGTAGCGTACTGGGCAGTAGGGCCTTCCAATAAACCACTTAATTCATCTCAGTAACACTTGGGAGTCTGTCTGTCTCCCTAATGACAGTCATGTATCCACTGGGGTGATAAGAACTCAGAGGAAGAGAAGCCTCCTGCTTCAGAGGATGAAATTCGCCGCCTCACCTAGTGCGTCCCGAGTAGCCTTGGTGACAGCAAAGCATATCTTCACTGTACTGGCCACCTGCTGATGGGGCTCCTGCCCCTGACACTGGAAGGCCGAGGTGGGGATGACAGGGGGCTGGAACACAACGGACACTCCCACTTGCAGAACGGGGCGAGACCTACCAGAAAAGGCAAAAGGACAGGACCGTCACCCGTAGGGCCAGAGACGCTGCATTTTTGCAGATGAACCCTCTGAGCAAACACCTGGTATTTAGGGAATAGAATTACGATTGTAATAGGAGTCTGTGGCTGGTACTATGATGGTATTATTGTCTGGGAGTGTTGGTGATCGTACTTGTTTATTATTGTATTGTTTTACTGCACTGCTGGTCAATTGGCTGTAACAATAAATTTGAGACCTGGTATTTAAGGCAACTGTAACGATTTCATGTTTAACTCTATGTGTGTGTCTTTAAAAGTTTGGATGCATGGCTGTATGATAGTCTAGAGTAGTGGAAACAAGCAAGTGGTGTGATTGGTGAGTGACAGAGAGGGGGAGGGGTTTTGGAAATGATTCTGTGTGGATGAGCAGATATGTCAGTCAAGAGTGTCAGTTAGAGATATGACAGTTGATGAAGTCAGTTAAGCTATGTATGAGAGAGAAGGAGACTTATCCCTGTGTGGGTTGTTAAGTTCTATGAATAAGACAGTTGATAAGTTAAGAGCATTCTGAAGTCTGAAGGAGAGACAGTCTTGTGTGTTATGAAAAGTTGAAGTATAAAGAAACAGTAACCGTATATGGCCTGAAGGGAAAAGGGTTACAAAGTTACATACCCAGATCCCTGTCAGTAAGAGAGAAAAGTGTGTGATACACCAAGCATTCGTTCAATATTTAAGCCTTCCTGGTTACAATGAGTTAATCTTTTATTTGTGAATTACTTCAATAAATCCTCTTTTATTCAAATATACCCACTCTGAAAGAAATACTTCCCAGGACCACATAGTACCTCGAACGCCTTAAACCCGCGACATACCTACCCAGAAATAGAGAAAGCATAAAGTTTTGGAAATCCTTTTAAAATTTAAAATTTACTATACAGTAAAATAAAATAAAAAGGAACACTTTTAAAGTAAAACCAGACCTCCCCAGTAAAGGGGTCGTCACAGCAACAACTCAAACTTTCTACAGTAAGTGTCTAATCCTAATGGCTGTAGAGAGAAACAGTATTGAGAAATGGGCGGGCAGTGCCCTACAGAGGCAACCAACACAGAGAGTGATGGAGCCCTCCCCACCAGCACTGGAAATCGGCCTCAGCAGGCCTCAGCACCAAAGTCTACAAGATGGCAGTAGTGTAATGGCAGGATTGCTCCAATCACCCGGGAAGAGAAGCGTCTGTGTAAAAGGGGTGGGGTTGGGGGCTCTGATCTTAAACCGGAAAATGTGCCTGGGTGAGAGGAGCAGATCTTTCCCCCAGCCGAAGGGTTACCTCCCCCCATGTATCCTCACCCCCACAGGAAATTTTCTCCTCAGCTGAGCACCAATACCAGAAGGGTCTTCAGGGGAGGGCAAAAAGCACACAGGAGAGGAATTACAGATCCCACGTAAAGCCCGTCACCAGCTTCCTCCTTTCTCCCACCCTCAAAGGTCGTCATTATGTTTTAGAATACTGAATGTCAAGACAGGGTTCAGTCATCTGTTTTAAGATTCTGTAATATAGCCTTGCCCTGACCTGGATCGCCCAGGCTAGTGTAATCTCATCAGATCTTGGAAACTTAGCAGGGCCAGCCCTGGTTAGTATTTGGGCGGGAGACCACCAAGGAAATGCAGGGTTGTGACACGGAGGCAGGTAATGGAAAACTACTTCTGAATGTCTCTTGTCTTGAAAACCCTACAGGGTTGCCATAAGTCAGCTATCGCTTGATGGCACTTTCCACCACGAATGTATCACATTATGTGTATTTTTCTGCCAAATTGTTTTTTGTTGGTGGTGGAAAAGTGCAGTCAGGTCACAGCCAGAGATGAAGAGAGGCCAGAGATGAACAAAGCTGGTTTTACCCTTTGCCTTTCTCTATGTCGTGACCCTGGGATTCCATGGTGGTCTCCCACCCAAATACTAACCAGGGCTGACCCTGCTTAACTTCCAAGAGCTGACGAGATCCAGCTTGCCTGGGCCACCCAGGTCAGGGGACTTTTTTTGTTTCACTATATCAAAGAAATCACCACACACACCTCACCCCTCTTTCTCCACATCTGGGGCTAAGTTGTGTTCCATCACATGTAGATAAGCCCTCAGTTTACTAGTCACTGGCAAGATATTTTCAAGCTCACCTGAGCTTGGGGGCAGGAGGAGCTTGGATTTCAAGTGGCTGAGTTCTGTACTCAATGAAATCACAGGATTCACTCAGGGTCTTTGAAAACAGCTACTACTCCGAGGCAACTTTGCTAGCAAGTGCATGTATATTGTTTTTAAAATGCAAATTGTTCTTAGTGTCTACACTAGGCCACGAAAATCAATTTAAATAGGACAGTAAACATGAGGCAGAAACACCAGCTCGGTGCCTCAACATGCCTACGTGCAGGGCTATTTTTGGGCAGGAACGCACAAGAACAGAGTTCCGGCTGGCTCCCGAGTTGGCCACGCCCAGCAGGAACTCATTAGCATAATAGGCCACACCCAACAGCAGAAACTCATTAGGATTGGCTACGTTAGGGGTGTGGTCTAACATGCAAAGGAATTCCTGCTACAAAAAAAGCCCTGGGTTTTGACAACAAACAGGGTAAACAGAATAAGAAGCAAAAGGTGGGTGTGGCTGGATGACTACACTTCTGGTAACATGGGGGTGTGGCCTAATATGCTAATGTGCTGTGTCATCGGGGTGTGGCCTAATATGCTAATGAGTTCCTGCTGTTGGGTGTGGACTATTATGCTAATGAATTCCTGCTGGGTTTTTTCTACAAAAAGAGCCCTGCCTACGTAGAAATAAAACATGAAGACAGGCGGTTGCCTGCTTTGCCCCTTTCTTGCTCCGAAGGAACGGAAGGGAGACCGGGACATCCTCCCTCACCTCAGCAGGAGCACCTGCCCTTGTCTTCCCACTGTCAGGTCCGGCAGGCCGTCCCCCGTAAGATCCGTCCCTCCGCTGACAGACTGGCCAAAGTAGAAGAACCCGCCGGAAAATCGCAAGCCTTCAATGCGCTGCACAAAGACAGAGAGAGGCAAAGGAGAGGAAGATGGTGTGATGAACTAAGTAAAACCAGTCTAGGTTTTATGCATCCAGAAGGGGGCTCGGAGGGGGAAAGGGGAGTCAGTTGGGGGCAGTTGGAGACGGCTGGAAGAGCTCTGTTCTGAGAGGGAGTTATTGAGAAGGGGCTTTTGGGTGGCTTCCTTCTGAGGGAAAACTCTCAGTCTGGGGCACAGGGACAGGGTGTCACAGAGCAGAGGGACAGATGAGACTCTGCTGAGAGGTTTTGCCAGAGTCAAAAGGGCAGACCTCTGTTTAAAACACCAACACACACAGGGAAGGACTGTAGTTCTATTATCCAGAGGGAAGTCCTAGGGACAGACAGGTCTCCAGCACAACTTGGGAGCCTTGCGTTATACACTGTATATGATCTGTAACATTACAACTGCCGGCCTACTGCGAAGAAATATCTTAGAGGGTTCATGGTTCTTATGATCTCTGCCTGACTTTTAAGAATCCTTCAACAGTGTTAATAGAATTCATATTGGGAACTAGCTGGTTGCCAACTGTTTAGTGCAGATAAAACCTTTAAAACCGTCTCCCCATTAATCTTCTTATTTTATTTAAAACCACGCTATCGGTGCCATTCTTTTATCTCTGTCAGGAAAGGTAAAAGGTAAGGGGATGACAGAAGTCATATAGGTCCCCTTGACCAGAGTGAGGAGGATACCTCACAGATGGCAACGTCAGAAAGAAACCTCCGCCAGTAAGGAGATTTCCACCAATAAAATAACTGTACATTAAAAATGAATTGGCTCATCCAGTGACCCAGGCAGATTCTCTGGAGGCCTCCATCACCATGTTTCCCTCTCTGCCTTTCTATTTACACTCTCTGCCCTTCCTCAGTCCAACACGGTCTGAAGGGGGAATCATGTATTTAGAAATAAACAAACAGGGAGACAGACATATAAGCACTTTCGACAAACATTCAGGTGACTACAATGTTCAGGAGATCCCCCCCCCCTCCTGAAGCAAGCCCTCAGAATCTAGAGACTGCAGAAGATGCCGTTATCTTCAGGGCCGCTACGTGGCTGAACAGTCATTGAAGGCCCTTTGGAGACAGTAGGAGGAATGCTTGCCAACCTCCAGGTGGGGCCTGGAAAGCTCCCAGAATTGCAATGGCTCTCCAGTCTACAGAGAAAATGGCTGTTCTGGAGGGCGGACTCTACGGCGTTATGCCCCACTGAGCTCCCTCCCCTCCCCAAGCACCCCCTTCCTGAGGTTCCACCCCCCAAAATCTCCAGGAATTGCCCAGCCTTGCATTGGCAACCCGAGCAGGATCTTGGCTCACCTGGCTGTACTGGAGGCTAAGCGATGTCCTTTTGCCGGCAAATATGTACAGGGCTCCCATATCCTTGTCCTCCATCGGGGCCCCGATCACGACATCTGTCCATCTGTCTCCAGTGACGTCACCTATTTCCGCCATGCTGGCCCCGAAGTGGCCAAAAACGTGTCCCTCTTGCCCTTTCAACGTTGTGCTGCATTGAAGACCTTCCTCCTACAGGGCGGACAGAGGAGTGGGTGGAGCCAAAGGGCAACATTCCCATGGAAGCTGTCTTGTCTCCATAGAACACAACTTCCTTCACTGTGTCTCACGGGATAGACTCACCTCGCAACTTGGATCAGTTCCATACTGGCGGAACTGTCATGTCCGTCCCTTAAAGAATCCTGGGAATTGCAGCATATTGACTGTGCTGGAAATCCCATCAGAGAGACTGTAGCCCCCTTGACAGAACTGCAATTCCCAGGGTTCCTTCCTGGGGCCAAGCAAATGACTGTGAGATCCAATGTAGCATGCATATGACTTCAGCATTCCATACTTGGGCCTCAAGTATCTCTAGCGGATTTCACTCTGTACCAACACAATCTAATTTTAAAACCCAGTTAACAATTCCCCATTCTCACTCTCATGCACGCACACACACACAACTGCTTACTTCTTCTCTCTTCTCTCACAACTGGCATAAATGTTTAATTTGACAAATCCCATGTTCCAGACTCTGAAAACCTTGGAAACCAGCAGACATTGTGGGTGCGTTCAGACGGGGCATTTGCAACGGAATAGGTGCCGGTTGGAATCGGTGTACTTACCGGCGTTCACACAGCGAACATCTGCCTTCCGTTCCTAACCGTTGCAAAGAGCTTTACACTGTTGTATTCTGCCACTAGGTCCCCAAGTGGTGGTATCCTGAGTACAACTGTTGTAATCGCTTCCCCCCCCCCCCGGTCTGATCGCTCTCCAACGTTGCAGAGCCACTTCCGTTCGAGAGCCTGAGGCTTCCGATTTTCACCCACCATTTTTGTTTAAAGGTCGGCGATATGCGCTTGGGCAAAGCTTCGCCCTGGCGTTTGTTTTAAAAGAAAAGAAAAGGTCCTTAGTTTAACGTTTCGGAGGAGTCCGGGACTTCAGGGAGGCCAGTTTGGTCTTTAAACTTTAAAGGTAAGTCCTTACCTTTAAAGTTTAAATGTAAGATGGGGGGTTTTGTGCATGCGCAAAGATCGCCATTCTGTGAATGGCTGCCTATGCGCATGCGCAAACTGAGTTTTTTTGTTTTTGTTTTAAAACCGCCGATGCCCGCTGTGTGTGAACGGGCATACAGCGATGGGCTCCGCAGACAGGAGGTAAGTGTGATTGCATTTCAGCCGGCATAAACGGCACCGGTTCCAACCGGTACAGTTTATGCCGGCTGAAACGCCCCGTCTGGACGCACCCTATAATTGGGAATGCTGTAAAACACTTTGTAAAAAGATAGCCACAACTCAACCCAAAAATCTATTTACAATGTCAGGACCTGGCCTTGGAACATATGGAGAAATGACGGCTTGGAGAGGGCTCCTACCAAACATGAGCAGAGTGTTTTCTGAATAACCACAACCAGCTCCCATAAACCTGGGGGAGAAGGTGGTGGGTAGAGTTGCCCTGAAAACTACTGACAAGGTTAGAGTTTTCACAAGCTAGCTGAGCCGCCTGTTTTGAAAGCACTTCACAGAGAGGATTTAACGTGATGTTTCTGCTGCAGGATTTGCCCTGAAGAAGAGCACAGAAACAGGTTTCGAGCCCGCCCCGCTGGCGGGAAGCAGCGGATGTGCTATTAATAGAAGTGGAGAAAGAATGTGGCCTTGATGGATGCTTGTAACATAAAGAGGAGAGATTGCCGCATAGAAGAAGCTGGCCATTAGAAGTTCGGAGTGACTATATGGACAGTTATTTGACCTAAGCACTTCATTCGTCATAGAGGAATTATATGCCCTGTAAAATTCTTTGGTATCTATTAATGTTAAAAATCTTTATAGGGTTTAAGTAATATAAGTGAATTGCATAGTGTTAAATAAATCTTTATAGGGATGAACAGACCACAAAGCCTAGTGATTGGTTCTACTTTATTAGTGATTTCAGCAAGCACAAGACAAGACCCCAGAGCCTCAGCTCTGTTAAATAGCATGCATTTGCCACACCCAAACACACCCCACTCCCAGTGATAGGCTATTTACATAATATTACTACTAGATTGGTTACTTTCAGAATCCTGGCAGGCTATTGTTCTTTTGCTCCAAGCTCAGCCAGTCTCTGGGGTGATTCAATCAGGAACGATTCAATCCCAGTACATAACACATAGTAGAAATTTACATAAAATAAGTTCTTAGTAACTATATCACGGTTGTTTGTACTGGCTGATCAGCCTCCAGGTGGCCCCTGGACATCTTCCTCTATTACAGTTGATCTCCAGATGACCAAGATCAGTTCTTCTAGAGAAAATGGCTGCTTTTGGACAGTGGACTCTAAGGTGAGGTCTCCCTGCTGAGATCTCTGCCCTCCTCAGGCTCCACCCCCAAAATCTCCAGGTATTTCCCAACCCGGAGCTGGCAACCCTAGCGGCAGACCTTCCAAGCCACAGGGAGCAGCCTGAACACCAGTCAGTCAAACAACAGACCTGTTGGTTTTTATCAGTTCTTCACACACACACACACACACCCCTTCTCTCTTACCTTAAAATGACAGACATAAACTCTTCCTCCTGTAACAGCATCATAGTACATGGGGGCTCCAACGAGAACCAAGTCTGTGTTGGAGTCCCTATCGAGGTCCACGGAACACAGCGTTGCTCCAAAATATGAGCCAACCTGATTTGTGAGACAGAAGCTGCGTTTCAGTTCCTTCTGGTGTGTTGTCCCTTGATGTGGGGTTCATGACCAGTGTTTCCTCTAAGCTGAGTTAGTGTGAGCTAGCTCACAGTTTTTTAGCCTTCAGCTCACAGATTTTTGTCTTAGCTCAGGAAGGATGGCTCCAGAGAAATGTAATTTATGCAGTAGCCAAATAGTTCGCTCACAATTTTAATGCCAGTAGCTCACGAATTAGAATTTTTGCTCACAAGACTCCACAGTTTAGAGGGAACATTTTTCATGACCCTACTAACACGCATCAAAGGGGCTTTGTGAACTTCTTGATTGTACCTCATAAGCGTACAGGTCAGTGTACAGTGTTAGAATTTAGCATCCCAAGAATCTCAGCCCGTTCTTCCCAATTTGACAAGTTGATCCAATTTCCCAAGTTGGGCAGGAAGGGGAAACTAAGACAGCTCTCCATTGCTCACAAGGCAGCGAGCCATAGCCCATTTTTTTGCTCCCCTCCATGACCAGAAAAACCCCCAAAAATATTCAAACTAAACAATCACAGCATGTTTGCATAATTCATACAGTTGCAGAACTTTAATTTTCTTGGGGAGATTTGTTTAAAGCATACCACATACACAGTTCAGCACAGAGAATGTTTCTTCCCACTAGGCTTACAAACATTATATGAGCACAAGTGGGGGCCTGCAAAACTCATGGGGGGGAATCTCATTCTCCTCCCCCCGCAATCGCAGAGCCCGGCATTGCTTTGGGCCTCTGCAGCTGCCCCCGGGCCTGGTGGTAGCAATGTCCAAGAGCTGCTCCAGACCCAGAGTGACTCCTAGACTCCTCCAGGACACCGGAGATAAGTCGGTTGTCTGTGCATGTGCAGATAACATTATTGTTTTGGGGGGGGATTTAGACTGCTCCAATCTATTTATTTTTTAGTATCAGATTTTTCTGCAACTCAGGGAGGGGGTCCAAGTTTGTAAAACTATCTGTTTACAACTAGCACGGCCCCAATCTGTGGATTTAGATATCTGCAGATTGGGCCACACTTGACTGTTAGAGTGTAAGATGACAGAATAGGGAAGAGAAATTGTATTATATTTATATTGTATTCATTTTTATGTTGTACATCACCCTGAGCCCTGCCTTGGCACTCTAAAATCAAATGTATACATAAATAAAATGCTCATCCTGCCAAGGGAAGGAAAGATGGTTAGGAAAGGTCTAAGAAAAAACAATGGCTTGATGGAGACCAACCTGAGCACGTTTAGAGTATAAATCTACGGAGTGCCTTGGACCGGCCAACACAGAGCGCCAGGGAGAAGCCCTGCTTACATCAGTGAGGACACTAAATCACACACTGCCATGGTCTCCCCACACCCTCCTCATCTCCCGTCCACACCCACAGGCTTCCCACACTGCCCCTTCAGCCCAGCCCGTACCTGTTCTCCAATGGCCTCCACTGTCAGTTGCCATTCTCGGCTTCGTGCTTGTTTCTCAAACACAACCACTTTGCCAATGTGGTTGAAACGGGGGGCTCCCAGCACAAAGCCACGTCTTTCTTGGAGCTGGACAAGCTGCGAAGAATGAGGTGGGGGGGGGGGGGGGGGGGGGGGGGTTGGAAGCTCTGGAAGTGTCAATTTGTCATAAGAAGAGCCCTGCCAGAGCAGACCAGTGGCCCATCTAGTCCAGTGGTGGCGAACCTATGGCAGGGTGCCAGAGGTGGCACTCAGAGCCCTTTCTGTGTGCCACGTGCCATCACCCCAGCCAGGCCCAGACCATCATTAAAGTGTCGAATTCTCTGCCAAATAATTTTAAGTAAATGAAAGCATTTGGGATTGCTTTCCTTACTTTGTTTGGATCATATTAAGTTAATGTACGAGTTGTTTTTTTCTAAAGTAAAACCTCAGTATTCAGGTTAAATTGCTGTGTTGGCACTTTGCGATAAATAAGTGGGCTTTGGGTCGCAGTTTGGGCACTCGGTCTCTAAAAGGTCCGCCATCACTGATCTAGTCCATCATCCTGTCTCATGCAGTGGCCAGCCAGTAACTCTGGAGGTCCAACAGCAGGGCAGAGAGAGGCTGAGGCCTTCCCCTGATGTTGCCTCGTGATATTGTTATTCAGAGGTTTACTGTCTTTGAACATGGAGGTTCATGTTAGTCAGTATGGCTAGTAGCCACTGATAGACGTCCTCCTACAGGACTGTGCACAGAACCATCGATTTAAACATGACATTGGCAGGTAAGACGATCCTTCCTGTGTGATTTTGCATACATCCTGCATCTTATTTACATCAGCCATTCAGCTGCCTCTTCTGGCAACTTTAGCTAGCTGGAGATCTGTAGCCCATGTGGTCCGCAGCTGGACACAGGTGGTCCGCCTTTCCCAAGCCCTGGAGAGTACTGCCCTCCTCACAAGGTGGATGCTCACAGTCTTAGTGCTAAGGGAGGTTAGGACAATTTCAGTTCATCCTTGGGCTTTTCCACTAGCAGCCCCCAGTCCTCTGGAATGGGCTTTCCTGGTGTGTGGGAAGTATAATCTCTAGTCTTCTTTAGGGGAAAAAATAGTTACTTAAAAACTGCGCTGATTGTTTGACTCCATTGTTGTTGGCTTCAACGTTTACTTATATACCCAGAAACCCCTTTGAGAATATGTAAAATAAATAAACACAGTTTTTACTCCAATGCAAGACAGGTCCCCCCCCCAGGTATGTCATAAAAAGGGGTTCATCTTAGGTTCGCATGCAGGTTACAGTCATTGGGGAGGGGCTGTAGCTCAGTGGAACAGCCTTGGCTTTGCATACAGAAGGTCCCAGGTTCAAACCCCAGCATCTTTAGTTTAAAAGGCTCAGGTAGGAGGTGATGTAAAAGACCTCTGACTGAGACCCTGGAGAGCTGCTGCCAGTCTGAATAGACTGTACTAATCTGGACGAACTGACGATCTGATTCAGTATAAGGCAGCTTCAGGTGCGTTATGGCCAGTAAAAAAAATGTGGGGGGTGTATAGCATTTTTCTTTAGGGGATTGCCTTGCTTTTGAGTAAATACGGTATTTTAAATAAAGGTTGCATGTGTAGCAGCCCAGTTTACATAAGATGTGCCACATAGGTAAGTTCTTCTTGACTACTGGCGCCAAACTTAAATCAGGCACAGATATTGTGGCAAGATCACCGGTGGACTAAGTCAGGACTGCATAGTTAGGTCTCCGTCCACAGGGTGTGCCTAAATCACAGAGCTCTGGGAGGACCAGGGTCTGAACAGAGAGTCCCAAAGTCAAAGAGAAATGTAGGTCTCCCCAAGAACTGTAGAGAGACCATTCTCATGCTTGGTAGTCCCTAGTTTTAACTAGCTACCAGCATGTAGGGATGAGGTTGTGGTGAATTGTGATGATTATGGGTGATTTCCCACAAGTGCTGCTCCGCGCTCACTCCTCCCTTTTGCCCCGATGGTACGTGTCAATTTCACACAAGCTGCTGCGCGCCCACATTTTGCCCCGCAGCTTTGTGCGATTTTCCCCGCGTCTACTCAGTCCTCAAAAAACATGTACCATCGGGCCAAAGAGAAGAGTGAGCGCGGAGCAGCGCTTGTGGGAAATTACCCTATCTGTTGGCATGACTGAAACCAAGATGCAGAACTTCAAGTAGCAGGAGGAGAAGCAGTAGCAGAATTTGGGAGGGACATTTGGTTTTAGTACTTACCTAGATAAGCATCATTCATATCTGTAGAAGTGCTGGAGATATTAATGAAACTTGGGTATCTGTTGCTACCTTGATATAGAAATACCCCTCCAGACCAGTCGTAAGCTCCCACTGCGCCTAAGACAGGGCCATCCTACATAGATGGTAAAGGCATTAGAGCGACCCGAAACCAACAGCAACAGGAAAAAGAAGAGAAAGAGAAGCATTAGGAAAAGATGAAAAAGAATGTAACTGATAACCTGATGCCTAGCACCCTCTACAGTTGCAGTTCGGTATTACAATAAGTATCAAAAAGATTCTTGAGAGCCTTGTTCAACTCACTGGACTCATCCAGCAAGAAAGAAGTCTCATAGATATAATCATTCATTATGAACACCTGTGGGGCTGTTAAGTAATATTGAATTCAGCATCTTGAGAATCTTCACTGTCTTTTTCTAAAAGCAAGTTTCTGTCCCAGGGTTCAGGAAAAACTTTAATAATGGCCATTACGTCTTCTTTCAATTATTCCCTTTTTTGGGACAAAGATGTGGAACACTTGTTTCAAAAACCCAAAACAGAGAACCAGAAACATGAAAAAAAACCAAGCAAATCTATGCATTTACATGTTACTAAGCTAAAACTAACCTCATCATAGGTATTGGGGAATTCCCTGGGATCGGTCTGTATGAAAGAGTAGACTTCTATTTTTATTTATTTTATTTAGTTCATTTATACCCAACCTTTCTCCCAGTGAGGACCCAAGATGGCTTACATCATTCTCCTCTCCTCTCTTTTATCCTCACAACAACCCTGCGAGGTAGGTTAGGCTGAGAGTATGTGACTGGCCCAAGGTCACCCAACAAGCAGCCATGGCAGAGTGGAGTTTCAAACCTGGGTCTGCCGGATCCTAGCCCAACACTGTAACCACTATACCATGCTGACTTCTCACAGGCTCTGATAAGCAACTCACCGGGGTCAGCAAAGCACTGAATCCTTCCTGGGACATTTCCATCTGGAAGGAACTGGTGCTCTGGGATTGTGTCCCTGCAGGGAGGGGAGAAAATAGGACACACAAGCAAACAGGAAGAGCACTCAGTGGAGATTACAATAAAGGCCCCTTCTCAAACTCTTAGCATATCATGGGTGTCACCTTGACTCCATCTTATTTTGGACCTACTACAGGGATCAGTTAGACTTTGGCATTACTAGGATTTAGACCCGAAACTCTGTTTGAATTGTTCACTCAGAGCCACAAAGAATGTGATGTAGAAATAAACAGAACACCACTGAGCCTGTGCAGAGTATCTTTTCCTAACCATAAAGAAAGTAAACCAATTCAATCATATCTAGAATTAGGGGTAAAAGCTTTCTGGGCACAGCATGCCTCTTCCCCTCAAGCTTGGTCCCCGGCACCAATCTCACTGTAGAAATCAAAGCAACAAAGCGGTGCTCTTAAAAGTTGACTCTCAATCCTCCCAATTCAAACTCACACCCTGGGAACAAGCAATGACCTTTGACAGTGAATTCTGCACCAATTATTTTATATTAATTTGCTAAAAACACAAGGGTGTGACCTTCGTTGTGATTTCTGATGACAGTAAAATTTCAGTCTTTTCCCCCAAAGACCTGCAGCTCTTCACAAAAGATTAATTTGCTGAATTGCTCACAGAGAAGGAGATCCCTCATTTCCAGATATAATTTACTGTCAAACCAAACTCCTTTGACAATCATTTGTCAACTGTTTGCTGAGAAACATCAGTATACTGTGAGAGAGCTTCTAGCATGCTATGAGAAAAATCAAATAATCAAAGGCTCCACGGGCCCCAAATTATCTTCCCACAGAGGAGGCTGTCTGCTGCATCTCTGTATGATCTCACAGCAGAGGCTGCCTGCTGCAACTCTGCACAATATCCATCCCTTGGCTTGGTTTGCTGCCATCCACTTCTGCAATGTAATGGCTAATTCCGTCTTTATTTCTTCTCTGGACGGAACTGAATAATTCAAACGCAAGTGTTGCATGGACACAGCAGCGTTACTTGCCCTTGAAGAAGGCTGCCCATTGTAAATCTGCATGAGTCATCACTCAGGAGTTACCTCCTTCCAAATCAGAAGAATGCTCAGATTGGTGGCTCACACAGAAACACAGGGCAGCGGGGGGGGGGGGGGGTACTCCTCCAATTCAAAGAATAAGTGTGCCTCCAAGTTTACTTTGGGGAAACAGGGTGATAGCAGAAGCATGAGAAACACTATGAACATAAGAACATAAGAGAAGCCAGTGTTGGATCAGGCCAATGGCCCATCCAGTCCAACACTCTGTCACACAGTGGCCAAAAAGACCAGGTGCCACCAGGAGGTCCAGCAGTGGGGCCGGGACACTAGGAGCCGTACCTTCTGGCCCCAGCCATACCTTCAATGGCAAAGATTTTGTCCTGCAGCTTGTCCTGGATGCCCCGGAGGGCGTCGAAGTCATGTACTGCAAAGACGTGCTCGGAGCTGGGGCTGGAGGCGATGGTGTCCAGTTCATTCTGGGCTCTGGTTGTTGAGAAAGCCCTGCCCACCTGCAAGGGAGGGAAGAGGGGAACTGCATCACAGATCGGTTGGCTTGACGGTTCTTCTCTCATGCCGAGGAGTCCTGGCGGAAGTATCTCTGCGAAGTACAATTCTCAGGACTGCCTGGGAGAAGCTATGAAATTTAAACGGTTATGAAAACTACCTGACCTGGATAGCCCAGGATAGCCTGATCCTGATCAGGCCTTGGAAGCTCAGCAGGGTCGGCCCTGGCTAGTATTGGGACAGGAGACCGCCAAGGAAGACCCAGGGCCGCGATGCAGAGGCAGGCAATGGGCAAACCGCCACTGCACGTCTCATGCCTAGGAAACCCTGCAGGGTCACTGTGAGTTGGCTGCAACTTGATGGCCCTTTCCCACCACTGTGAAAAGACTCTAAATGCATTGCACAGAAGAGTCTGCTAGAAAAAGCAAATTAGAATTCAGTGTCCTTTTAACACACGACAAATCTGCCATTTAGAATCATAGAATCGCAGAGTCGGAAGGGGCCATACAGGCCATCTATCTGGTCCAACCCCCTGCTCAATACGGGGTCAGCCTAGAGCCTCCCTGACAAGTGTTTGTCCGGCTGCTGCTTCAAGACTGCCAGTGAGGGGGAGCTCACCACCTCCCTAGGCAGCTGATTCCACGGTTGCACAACTCTTACTGTAAAAAAAGTTATTCCTAAGATCCAGTCGGTACCTTCCCACCCTTAATTTAAACCCATTATTGCAAGTCCTCCCTCTCCTCTGCTGCCAACAGGAACAGCTCCGTGCCCTCCTCTAAGGGACAGCCCTTCAGATACTTCAAGAGAGCCATCCTGTCCCCCCTCGACCTCCTCTTCTCCAGACTAAACATTCCCAAGTCCCTCAGCCTTTCCTCATAGGGCTTGGTCTCCAGGCCCCCAATCATCCTTGTCACTCTCCTCTGTCCACATCCTGTTTGAAGTGAGGCCTCCAGAACTGCACATAATACTCCAGGTACGGCCTGACCAATGCAGTGTACAGTGGGACTGTTATGACATCTTGCGATTTGGATGTTTTGCCTCTGTTGATCCACCCCAAGTTCGCATTAGCCTTTTTTGTCACTGCATCACACTGGCTGCTCATATTTAATTTCTGGTCCACCCATACCCCAAGATCTTATTCACACCCACTGAAACCCAGAGGCATATCCCCCATCCAGTATGTGTGTTCTTCATTTTTGTTGCCCAGATGTAGGAAAGATGTAGATGTGAAAGCCTCTAGAACTCAAAATCCTCAGCTATCCCAATCACCTGGAAATCCTTGTAATGCTCTCACCCCAATAGCATAACGGATGATCCCTGCTCGGTCAGCCTCCGGTATCACATTCCAGTACTCCAAGGGATCCCTCGCTTTCTCCCCATCTGTAATCACGATAAGAATCTTCGTGGCTTCTCTACGGGAGCCTTTACGTGGGGTGAACAGCTGATTCCTTGAAAAGGAAAGCAACATGACACAGCGATTCCGCGGGCTGAATGTCGAGAACCATAGAGAAGGGAGAAAGAGGGAAGAAACAGCAAGAGAGAGAAGAGGAGAAGAGACCCAGTTCTTCCATGGAGAAATGGCTTCAAGAGACATACACAACTCTGTGGATAGCAGTAGCTGTGTGGGTCCATCCCCCAATCTGCTCAACATCCATCACGCGTCTCGCTGGGTCTTCAGCTCTGAAATCAAAGTGTTCCATGAAATCATCCGAAAACTGCATGAGGGCAAACTGAAGAAGAAGAAGAAAAAGAGGGTTAGTGGGGGTGGGGCCTCTGCTGTGAGTAGAGCAATGTCTAATTTAAAAGGAAGATCAGATGGGTAGGGGAAGCATGCATGCACCTTTGGAACACCCTATGAATCTGTGGTATTTTTACTGTATATATGTAATGGAAATGCCCCCCCCCCCAATATCTGTGTGATTTAGTTTGGTCCTATTGGGTGGAGCTCTTGTTTCAGTTTTCCAGTTTTGTACATTAGCTGAAGTTGTTGGTTGCCGGAGTTGTCTCCTTGCAAATAAACAGCTCATGTTTTGAGCCAGCTTGCCTCTGTTGAATGGACCAGAGAACAGGTGCCTGTGTGAGTCCTCTAACCTGGGAACCCACAGCCAAAGGGGGACATTACACACCCTCCCTCTGAAGTTGGCTCCAAACTGTCAACAACTGTCAACAACTGGAAATGCTGCAAGTATCATAATCAGTGCTAGACTGTGTAAGTAAATCCGAGCTAAGAAAATTCACTCAAGAAGGCCCCCTCCAGTTCATTTCAACCCTCACTTCAGGCCAACAGGCACATTACCAATTTTGTGATAATGTTCAATGCTCCTCCCTGCACATGTTGTGTGTGCCTGCAATGTAAAAGTGTCAGGAAGCCACCGCCACCTGCAGCTCCATAGCACATGGGCATGCATGCAAGATAAGCAAGGTGCCATGCGGCAGCCATGCGATTTCACTCCACGACCCAGGGCCTGTTTCTCTTGCAGTCCACTTTCCACAACAAAAAGCGAAAGAGAGAGAAGTCAGTTTGGTGTAGTGGTTAAGTGTGCAGACTCTAATCTGGGAGAACTGGGTTTGATTCCCCACTCCTCCACTTGCACCTGCTGATGTGACCTTGGGTCAGTCACAAGCTCTGGCAGAGCTGTCCTTGAAAAAGAGCAGTTTCTGTCAGAGTTCTCTCAGCCCCACCCACCTCACAGGGTGTCTGTTGTGGGGAGGGGAAGGGAAAGGAGTTTGTAAGCCGCTCTGAGACACCTTTGGGTAGTGAAGGGCCATGGGGTATAAATCCAATCTCCTCCTCCTCTGTTTAATTGTCATCACGAATTCACCCATTCATTAGGTTGGTGCTGTGCTAGTACTACTTAACCATGTCTTGCTCCCAAAGTGCTAGCATATATACATGCTCTGCACACCATGAGAGTTTAGACCTTGTCATTTCCCAATGCAGCTCTGCCAAGGAGAGAGGCTTCTTGGATAGTGTGCATGGACAACTAGTGGCATTTCAACTGGCCAAGAGGGAAGCTGCTTCCACCCAGACATTTCTCTCTCTCTTTGCTCCCAAACTAGACTGTTGTTTTTCTATGTCATGATGTCATAGGGCGATTCTGTATCTGGCATAAAAGGTGCAGCTCAAACCCACATTCAAATACCTCAGGGGCAACGCCGTACTGACTGCAAAGTCACCCCTGAACAGCCAAAAATCTATGCAAAAGGTACCATAAAACCCGATGATCAGAGAAAGCAAAAGCGGCATGCAGTGTGGTGGATACCATAAAACCCGATGGTCAAAGAAAGTGACAGCAGCATGCAATGCAGAGGGGAATTTCTAAGGTGGGTTTGGTAAAACAACGGAGGGAAAAGTCAATGCAGAATCACCTATCGTCTGCTTTCCAGTTTTCCCCTCTCCTGGGCATGCTCTATGAATTATGCTTTGCTGCAGTCTTTTCGGGAAGAACACAATCCAAGTGAGTTAGCATGCTGGACAGAAAGGTGCATCTTTTGAATGTCCCATCTCAGCCACCAGTTTTTGTACCATGCCCCTGGAAGGTTTTTTCAAGGTGTTTTTTTAATTAATCAGCAGTTGCTACAGTGCTATAATGCTGAAGAGTTATAACAACTACATATTTTTAAAATGTCCTGGGGAAACCCTCTGTTAAAAATTTTTTTTTTAAAAAAGTGGCTGGCTGAGAAAAGTGCACAGAAAAATATTGGGCGGATGATTTGTTGCCCAATGCAGCAATCAATGCAAAACAGAGAATCGTCACTGTGTGGATCCAGACTAGGGACAGGCAGGAACCAGGTTCAGTTTGTTGTTCGTGACGTGCCCTGTTCACGAGCCATGAACCATCACGAATTTTTAGTTGGCTCAGTTCAATAGGTGGTAGAATGCCCCCCCCCCCGTGTGCTAGAGACACCAAACTACCTGCCCTCCATATTTGGTGAGGATTGGATTTACAGGGTCCGAGTTACAGCCCTCCAAAGAAGGCACCCCCAGAAAAGTGCTTTCTGGATAAATGACCACCTGTCATTTCCCCAGAAAGCACTTTCCTGGAGGCACCTTCTTTGGGGGGTCATAATGGACCCCAAAAATCCAATCCTCACCAAACTTTGAAGTTGCTTTGAAGTTCTGCTTGCTTTGAAGTTTTTAAACTTTTTGATTGAGCAGAGACACTCTGTCTGGAAATGTCTCAGCTCAGGAACCTCCACAAACAGCTTGAAACTTCATGCTGGGTGACCTGCCACAAACCTGACTTCACGAAACGACAACATTAATCTCGACCTTTAGTTTGTGAGCCGGTCGGTGCCCATCCTTAGTCCAGTCCTGGAGGGAAATCATCATGAATCCAATTTTGCACTGCAGAGCCCTCTAGTGGCACAATCCAGAAACGTCTCTGGTGTGGCTTCCAAAACACCTACCTGGACGCTTTCAAGGGGTCCCAGGGAAAGCATTGACCAGGGAAGCAAAGACTACGTATTAGTATTAATCATCAGGAAAGCCAGCAGTCACTGTGAGCTGCAGGTGCATGCATGGGAGAGCTGATGCTCCATTCCAGTCCCGGGAAGCAGATCAGGACAAGGAAAGCGTGTAGCATGGAAACCCTCCAAGAGTCCTTTTACCAGCGTGTTCCTGCCGGACAACCTCGTGATGACGTTAGAAACAAACTCCTTCATCCTTCTAAAGTCTCTGGTTCTAATGCTGCCTGAGCCGTCAATCAAGAACACGATGTCGGTTGGGTGGGGAGCACATTCTGGGGACAGAAGGGGCATGTCATCAGAGTCAACTTCCCTGACCTTCTATGACCTTCATCAGCTTATCCACATTCATTCAGAGTGCTGGTTCTTACCTTTAAGGTGCTAAATGACTTGGGGTCACGTGTCTGAGGGACCATCTCCTCCCATCCCATCCAGCTCGCTATTTAAGTTCTGCTTCTCAAGCCCTGCCCTCTGTGCCCTCACCTTCAGACGTGAGACGGGTGATGAATAGAGACAGGGCACTCTCTGTGGTGGCACCTGGCTTCTGGAATGCCCTCCCCCCTTGAGGCTCACCCAGTGCCTACTTTCTTTCAGGTGCCAGGCCAAAGCACACCTTTTTACCCAGGCTTCAAACTCGGGGGTGTTTATCTGGCCAGCCTCTTTAATGCTCTGCTTCTTATACCAGGTCTGTTCTATGGGTAGTTTTTTTGTCCCGTAGCTTGTGTTCAATGGCTCGTTGTTTTATACTGTCACTTTATTTTAAGCGAAAGCTGCCACAAGCAGGACTCTGAAGAGGCAGCAAAGAAATGCCCTAAAGCAAATTAATAATAAAACCTGTGTGAGGATGAGATAAATATCGATAGATGAGAGGCAAGTCACAGAGAGGGGGAATATGTTGAGAGATCACACAGCAGGGACAGATCGGGGCTAGAAAAGGTAGGCTGAAGGCAGATTATGGCAGGGGTCGCCAACCTCTTTGAGCCTGCAGGCACCTTTGGAATTCCAATACTGCATGATGGGCGCAGCCACAAAATGGCGTCCATAGGATGGCTGCTGCAGGAGGTGGAGCCAGGCACAAAATGGCTGCAACGGGTTGCCTTCAGTCACACAGTGAAGATCCCTGTGCAGCTGCCCAGGCAGTGTCTTTAAAAATCTGCACAGCCAGTCAAATCTCCAGTGGCCAATCAGAACTCTTGCTGGCTAAAAGCCCCACCTGGCCCCACCCACTTTTGGAAAACACTCAGTGGGCACCAGGAAAGGGGCTGGCAGGCACCACAGTACCCACAAGCACCACGCTGGAGATCCCCGAATCATGGCATTTCCAGAGCACTGAAGGTGGTCTTAAAAGAGAGATTGCGGCTTACGGCCTACAGCTCACTTCTTACTCATTTACTGAATACTTTATTGCATAAAATGGTCACTGCATTATAATTTGAATGTTGCATACAAGCAAAATACAAACCCTCTTGCCTAAAAATACAAAAGGTTTTCCAGAGAGGCAGAGGGCATTGTTCCTGTTCTTAAGTTCTTTAGCCAGTTTACAGCTTTGGTTCGAAGAGACTCACAATGAAACATTCTGGTTTCTACAACTAATAAGGCCATTCTATGTGCAGGCAACTGGTTTGTTTCAGACAGCAGGGTGCCAATTAGGGGATGATCAGACTGTGAAGGCACAGGGAGAAATCTCTCTCTGGGGCCACCACAAAGGAGTCTATGTGAAACCTGAAACCTACTGGGAAAAGTTGAAGACAATAAGAAAAAAGGAAATCCCAGAATGAGACAGATAGAGGCAATAAAGGAAGCTGCGGCATTCAGTTTGCAAGGACCAAGCAAGGCTATTAATGATGGGACTTTTTGGAGGTCATTCATACATAGAGTTGCCATAAGTCAGAAGTGACTTGATCAGGGGTCATTTCCTGCAGGAGCACACAGGAGCGGAGCTCCAGCAGTAAAGAGCCCAGGGGGCGGGCACATGCAACAAGCCCCGCCCCCTGCTCCCAGCAGCCCTCAGTCAGAGCAAGAAGCAGCCAGGTGAGTGGCAGAGCCCCCTCTGCCCCCCCCCGTCCAAAACAGTCCAGTGACACCTTGAAGACCAAGTTTTATTTAGATACAAGCTCTCCCTCCTCTGTGAGGGCAGATCTGCACGTCCCCCCCCCCCAATAGCCAGAAATCCAAAACAGTCCAGTGGAGCCTGAGTGGTGGGTGTTGCCTTCTGACACACTTCCGGTGATGTCAGGGGGTGTGGCATATGCAAACAAAAGTTATGCTAATGAGCTCCTGCACCTCTTTTTCTACAAAATGACCCCTGGACTTGATGGTGCATATGTAAAACTTAGAGTTCCGTGTCTGTGGCTCACATACAAAATATCAGGGATCTAGGGAACATCAGAGCACCTGCCATTAACGCAAGCCAATGGCATTGTTTCAAATCTTACGTTTGCAAATTCATTCTGGAAGCAAGGGAAGATAAGGCCAAAAAAATACAGGATAAGGTCAAAAATCACCTGACAACAATGGTTACATGTGAAAGAAGAATATTATCTCAAGAACAGACATGCTCCTTTCACTTTTAACAATGGGGAACACGTTTTTGCATGGTTTTCTTTAATTGGTTCAAAACTCTGCCAGACCTATTTGCCCTAAGATGACTGCAAGATAAAAAATGTGCATGCGCAAAACCATGGGAAGTGATGCCTTTTTCAATCCCAGCCCCTCGAGCAAGGAGAGGGTTTCTCCCTTGCGCAGGCAGTGGGGAAAGCCCCACGCCCAGCGACACCAAAAAGCCTGCGTGCATGGCCCAGCAGAGGGTGCATGGCTGTGACATTGCTGCTTAGCGTGAGCTCAACACATTCCTAGGGAAAGCCCTGAAGCTTCCTGGTTGTTTCAGTCACAAAAAAACCTTTGGATTTTATCCCCCAAAGAAGCAAGCAGGTGGCCAGTAAGAGACTGGTGGGCACTGCAGCATCCAGAGGGACCAACCTGGGGTTTTGATGGGCTAGCCAGTCACCCCTCTGAATAGGAAGATGCCCCCGGAAGCCAGAAGAACCAGTTACTTCTGGGCTTGAATGAGATTACGAGTTTGTACACCCGTCCAACTGCAGATCTGTGGCAGGCTCACTTCTCAAATGATATGTGTCTGTTGCAGACCCCGATTGTCAACGGTTGAACAAAGCTGGCCTGAGGATTTATTTTTACCATTTCAGCAAAAATCTCACTGTTACATCATTGGAAAGATAATTGTGAATCGTTGGAGGTTTGCCCAGAAATAAATCTTGTGAACTCAGGAACCGGCAGATCTCTGGTTACAATATTGCTATGGGGAAATTAATTCTAAGGTCTGAAATGCTTACCTCATGGAATCAAAGGAGATGAATTAATTGGTTTTGATAGGGCCATGTGAGTTTCACAGAACTGGGTCTGTATAGGATAACCACATCCAAAAAACCCCTGAATCTCTCAGATGTGGGTTGTGTGAGACCATCATTCTGAAACCGCTTTGGTGAGAATCGAAGGAGTTGTATTTTACCTCTTAATCTTAAAATAGATAGGATGAGAGATGATATGTATGTCTTTCTGTTTCTGATTTCATTAACATATGCACGTATTTTGGTATCATCGTGATTCATATTTACTCCTTTCAAGAATGATTAGATTGGTTTTAAATAAAAAGCTTAAAGATAACAGGTGTGATCTTTAGCTGGGATAGAAGGCTTTCACTCGACACCTGGAATAAATGAACTCCTGACTTCTCTTCAGTCAGAGGGCTGATAACCCACTGAGATAGGCTATTAAAGAGAGTAGCTCCTCTCAAAGTAGCCCTGTGGTTTAGTGGTTAAAGCGCGGCTGTGGGACAGGCAAAGAGGCCCTTTGTTTCCATGTGTCTGTTTTAAAAGGAATTCTTCCCATGCGGAGGGATAATAACCTGTTACCTGTCTATCCTTACGCCAATGCCATCCCTACACTGAACGGTTTAGAAACACAATCTGTATTTTTCACACTCAGCCTTTACTCATAAAAAATAACAATAATTAACAAAAATAAAAGAAACTAAAACTGTTTTGAAAACAGGAAGCTCTTTCAACCCCTGTTCCTAGAAACCGTATTTTGCATACATGACACTACCCAACTTAGGGTCCAAATCCTGGGATCCTCAGATCCCTGTGGGGTTTCTCTTCCTTTTCTTTTTGGCTTGATTGCCCCTTTTCAGACTCAGGTTTGGGTCTCACCTGGTAAGGTCTCAGGAAAGCGTTGGAGCTGCTGCAGAGTCTGGTCTAGGAGGAAACAATAGCCGTTCACGTACATGTTCTTCCCACAGGCCCGTTGCACTGTGGGGCCGCACACCTTCAAAGAGAACAGACGGGAAGGGTGAAGGGGACAGGCCCGCATTCCCTGACGAAAACATATTTCTCCGTTCCTGTACTTTAAAAGTAGGGTCAAATGCCCTACAGCTATGAGACAGAATGGTCGTGGTAAGATCTGTCAAGCCACAGCCGACTTATGGCGACCCTGTGGGGTTATCAAGGCAAGAGACAGAGATAAGTGGTTTGTCATTGCCTGCCTCTGCATAGCAACCCTGGACTTCTTCGGTGGAGTCTTATCGAAGTACTAATGAGCAGGGGTCATTTCCTGCAAGAGCGCACAGGAGCGGCGCTCCAGCAGTAAAGAGCCCAGGGGGCGGGCACATGCAACAAGCCCCACCCCCTGCTCCCAGCAGCCTTGGGCCACAAGGAGCAAGAAGCAGCCAGGTAAGTTGCAGAGGGGGCCCCCCCATAGCTTGCAATCCAAAACAGTCCAGTGGCACCTTTAAGACCCAGTTTTATTCAGGTACAAGCTCTCCCTCCTCTGCGAGGGCAGATCTGCAAGTTCCCCCCCGGGGGCCCCCCCAATAGCTAGCAATTCAAAAAGAGTCCAGTGGAGCCTGAGCGGTGGGTGTTGCCTTCTGACACACTTCCGGAGATGTCAGGGTGTGTGGCATATGCAAATAAGTTATGCCAATGAGTTATGCTAATGAGCGCCTGCACCTCTTTTTCTACGAAATGACCCCTGCTAATGAGGGCTGACCCTGCTTAGCTTCCGAGGTCTGATGAGATCCAGCTAGGCTGGGGACGTCCAGGTCAGGGCATGGGATAGAACAGCTTGGTTCAGAATGGCCCTGCAAGCACAAATTCTCCTACGCTCCTGTTCATTGCCAAGGCTTCAGTTCTACACAAGAAAGTCCATCAACCCTGTTTAAAGTCTCCCCCACAATAAATGGGTCTTGTATATAATTTGCAATCTCTCGTGTACATGCCTCCTGTAACTTACAATCCACCGGCTATCTCCATGCCAAGAACAACTTCACCTGCTAAATGTCCCTGTCAGGCGGCTGTTAACAGGCATAATAGCAAAACCAGGGGGGGAAACGTGAGAACCTAACTGAGGTCCGCCTGAGAGAGACTGACAGGACCGAAACTACCCCGTGAACTTGTGTGTTTGTTTTGCCTCTCTGGAGTCTTGGTGGATACAGCTTACACTTAATATTATATATGATCAATATAAAACAAGCCATTAAACAAAAGCCCAGGGACATAAAAATAGGCATAAAACTATCCATAAAACAAGACTCAGACCAGAAGCAGACCATAAAACAGCTTGAAAGATAAAAACCCGTAATTAAAAGCCTGAGGTAAAAAAAATGCATTTTGGACGGGCGCCTGAAAGGACGTAAAGTGGGTGCCAGGCAAGCCACAAGAGGAAGGGCATTTCAGAGGTAAGGCGCCCCCACAGAAAATGTCCTGTCTCTAGTTGCCACCTCACCTTTAAGGTTGCCAGTCTCCAGGTGGGGACTGGAGATATGGAATTTCAACTGATTTCCAGACAACAGAGATCAGTTCCTCTGGAGAAAATGGCTGCTTTGGAGAGTAGACTCTATGATATTACACCCCACTGAGATCCCTCCCCTCCCCCAAACCCCACCCACCTCAGGGTCCACCTCAAATAGGGTTGCCAGGCCGTCGTGCCTGGCAAATGCCAGGAGCCTGTTGGGGGTGTGACCTGGGATGGCCCAGAGCAGCATGGGCACCATTACATCACTTCTGGGGGAAGCCCAGAAGGGATAGAGGGTAACTCTTGGAATCGCTGGAAACGCTACGGTTTTACACCACACAACAATGACTGTTTTATTATTTGTCTTGGAGTGGAGGCAGCCAACGAGGGCAGTCAGTGGGAGGCCAGGCAACCCCACAGTCTCTAGGGTCTTCCTGATCTGGAGTCAGAAACTCTCCTGTGAAGGACAGGGCCAAGAGAGCAGGGCTTGAGAGGCAGATAGGCTTCCCAAGTCCCCCCGGGGGGCGGGGAAACCCGTGCCCCAGAGGCCCGTTCCCCACTGTCCATGGCCCCGCCCCCAGCATGCCTGCCGTCGTCACGTCACTTCCGGCGGCCAGGAGCCCCCCACTCCGGCAGAAGATCGACTTGGCAACCCTAAAGGCAGAACTCAACGGGCAGGCTGGATAGGATGGGAGGAGCTAATTCTTTTAGTACCCTGGCCTAAGTTTCCAAGATCCCCCTTGGCCAACAGCGGTGTTGGTGGGGGAGGCATTTAGGGCCATGAGAACTACTACTTTGAAATTGCACAAGTGAAGATTTGGATCCTAGACTCGCCCGCCCGCCTCCGCAATTCAGTAGTTAATAGTCCTGCACCAACAATTTTCATTACCGATCTACATACCAGGACTTGAGAGGCCTGGGCAGCCAAGGAAAAGCCAAGAGACATGTTGACAGCGTCTGCAGGTCCTGAAAGGGAAAGAAATACACACAAAGATTACTGCTATATATAAAGCCTGCAAGGTATTTGGTGCTGACCTTCACAACCTGCTTTTAAAAATCCAGATCCCTATCCACCCCACCCCACCCGGACTTTACAATCGAAACAAAAACCAAGGATTCTGACTCCCAAATAATTTCTCTTAAGTCAGCAACCCTTCCAGACCTTTACAATGAGCTCAGACACTCTTGCTGCAATCCTAAACAAAGTTACACCCTTCTAAGCCCATTGACTTCAGTGTATTTAGAAGAGCACAACTCTGCTTGGGATAGGGTTCCCAGGCGCCCCCCCCCCCTGGCAGCAGTGGAGGATGGGGGGGAGGGGAGGGTTGCCAGAGCCAGGCTGGGAAACTCCTGGAGATTTGGGGGTGGAGCCTGGGGAGGACAGGGACTTCCGTGGGGTGTGCAATGCCATAGAACCCACCCTCCACCGCATCCGTTTTCTCCGGGGGACCTGCTCTCTGTAGTCTGGAAATGAGCTCACCTGGAGGATGAGCTCACCTGGAGGATGGCATCCCTAGCTCAGACAGGTCCCACCTGGAGGATGGCATCCCTGGCTCAGTATAGCACTCTGTCTCTTTCTCTCCTGTCCTCAGTTTCCAGGGCGTTAACTGACTGAGCACCACTCCTCCTCTCAGAGATTCACCAGAGTGGTATAATTCTCATGGTCACCCCTTTCTCACTTCCTCCAAGATGATTTCACTTCCCACATGTTCTTCCTCTCAGACCTCTACTTCCTACATTGGTCCCGCACTCCAAAGCGTCAGGGAATCCTGGCAGCCCGACCCCCCTCCCTGAATAAGAGAGGGAAGGGAGCCCAGGAGTCCTGGCTCCCCTGCTCTCCCTTTTAGTGAGGCCCAACTATCCAGAGAGAACCCATTTTAGCAGGAACTTCAGGCTCACTCACGTTGGACATTAATCTCCTTGCAGTCACCTGTGCGGTAGGCACACTGGTAGAGTTTGCCCGTTTCATTGGCTTGACCTGTTTGGAATGGAGCCCCCACAAACGGCCTGGGAAGGGAGAAAAGATGGCACTGTTAGCATTTGCACAGGGCTGTCAAGATAGAGGGTGCAAACCAAGAGGAAGAGGAAGTCTCTCTGTGTAGGGTTGCCAACTCTGGGTTGGGAAATTCCTGGAGATTTGGGGGCAGAGCAGGGAGAGGGTGTTTAGGAGGGATGTGATATCATAGAGTCCACCCTCTGAAGCTGTCCTCTGCTCTGGGGAGACCGCCGTCTGGAAATCAGTTGTAATTCTGGAAGAACTCCCGCCCCACACCGGGAGGTTGGCAACCCTTAGACCTCCCAGCTGACACAAGAAACAGACAAAAAGGATGCTAAGAGAAGAGCCACACGTGAATGAACACATGCAGCGATGTGTGTTTTGACTTTCCTTGGAATGAGAAAGAGAACCTCTGGCCCAAGCTAAAGGAGTCAGAGAAGGGGGGGGGGTGTTGTTGCTGACAGGAAATTCCAACTAGGCAGGGTGGCAATGGGAGGGGTCGGACTGGAGCACAAGTGACAAGTGGGAGGAAACATGAGCAGGTTTTCGGAGGGCCCGACATGGGATGCAAAAAGGGGACTTCCCATGGAGCGATCAAGTTACAGGGCTCTGCCACTACTTTTGTGCCTTTATTTCAGCCACTTCTCCACTCCGCCGCCACCCCCAGCCCAGCATCAGTTTCCTCTTACATGTTCCCGATTTGGGCCACGCTGCTCCCAAAGCTCCGGGTTGGCACCTGGAAGGCAGTCGGCAAATCCACGTCCACACTGAATCCACAGCACAGCGCCAGCCCTGCCGGGATTAAAAAGGGTTCTCAGTGCACGTCCTCCTGATTCGCACACAAGACCCTCCCCACCTCCCTCCACCAGATTCCCACATTTATTGTATACTCAGTGTTAAGTCGGTTACTTAACAAAGAGTCAGAGAGTGATTTCAGCAAAAGATCAGCTTTATTCAGCAACTCGTGACTCAACTCCAAACAGATCAACAAAAATAGCCAGAACAGCTTTTACATTGAAGCTGTTCTACTTTTAAACTCTCCCAGCTAATGTAGCCACACCCTATTATCCAATATCAACCTATGAGGTTGCAGGGATAAGGTCCAATCACAATAGTTCCCGCTCTTGGAACTAGCTGTTGGTGATTGGTCAGTTCTTCCTGGGCTACCAATTACAAGTGAGTGATTAGGATCCTCGCCCAGGATGAAAGCTTCACATGGTGTTTTCAATGACAGAGTTCACATACATACATACTTTGGTCAGATGGAATACACCACACTCAGTGTCTGTTGTGGTAAAAACTACCGTCATTGCTGTGTGGGTTTCAGTTTGAATCCAGACTAATCAGATCTGGGATGCATCCTTGAATGCTATTAGAGAACATGTGCCCAGTCAGAAAGAACAGCAAGTTGGATCCAGGGCCGGCCCCAGCTTATCTTGCACCCTAGGCGAGGATCCCTTCTGGCGCCCCCCCTCCCCATGCGCCCACCAACAGCCAAGTTGACAACCAGAAGGCGCAAGGAGAGTCGCCAGGCTCCCCCTCGTCAGGGCGCCTGGAGAAGAGGCTGACTGGCAGGGCGCTCACAAGCTGTCGCTCCCCCGGCCCTGCAGCTGCTCCTGCTCCAGCTTCCAGTCCCTGGCCGCGAGGAAGAGGAGGAGGAGAAGCGCTTTGCTGGGAAGCCGAGGGGGCAGGCAGGGAGAAGTTAGCCGGCCAAAGAGGTGACGGCGGTGGCAGCCACCCGGTCAGGGAGATGCAGGGCTTTTGGCGGGGGGTGGGTGCAGTTTGGCGCCCCTAAGGGCCGGCACGCTCTAGGCGAATGCCTAGTTCGCCTAGTGAGCAAGCCGGCCCTGGTTGGATCCTGCCCGCACCACGGGGGCCTCTGTGGACAAAGCCATGCAGAAAGGGGGGGTTGTAGTAGTGTAGTAGTAGTGGTGTAGTAGTGAGAAGCAGGGTTTGCCAGCTCTGGGTTAGGAAATACCTGGAGATTCTGGGAGTGGAGCCTGGGGAGGGAGGCAGGATTTGGGGAGGAGCAGGGTATAATGCCACAGTGCCCACGGTGAACTGTCCACCCACCAAAGCAGCCATTTTCTCCAGGAGAACTGGTCTTGATTGACTGGAGATCAATAGCAATCGTGGCAAATCTCCAGGTACGACCTGGAGGTTGGCTATCCTAGTGAGAAGGGGAATAGGGCAAGATACAGGCTTGCCCCCAAAGCTTCGCCAGGACCAGCACAAGATGCCTTCTCATGATGGAGCCAAAACTACCTGGGGATCGGGAGTTTGAAGCGCATTGTGCTTATTCAGATCCGCTTGTTAAAATTAAAATGTCGCCTTCATATATTCCTGGACAGTCCGTAGTTTAAAAGCACAGGGGCACAGCCAGCAAAAAACAAAACAAACAGTGGCAACTGTTCCCAGCTCCCGTCTAAACTCTTCCCATTTTACCTTTGCAGGGTGTGGCACCTTTGTTTTCCCCCTGGAAGGGGAGCAAAGTGCCTGCGAAAAAGCAGAGCAGGGGAATGAATTGTCTCTGTGTGTGCAGTTGGCAGGACACAGGGATTCCAGACGGGGGTAGTTCATCCCAAAGAATATCCCTGGTTCACAAAAGTAAATGGGAATGAGTCCGAATGACCAGAAGTTTTAAAAACCTTGCTCCTGTAGAATTTGGTGTGTTGGGGGGGGGGGGATATAGGGAAGGGTTGCAAAATAAAATAACTGGCTGCCAACAGTCCCCAACATTTTACAACTAGACTTTGTAACAAAATAATTTCTATTTTCCGACCAGGATGCTTATTAAAAGCCTTGAACTAAAACCTGGGGTCAAACTGACCCAGAGAAGTAGGGGGGAAATGGTCAAAGCTTTTGTTTCCAGTCTTCTGCAGCTCCATACGGCCTGTATTTCTCTCCCTCCCGTTTTTGTAAACTTCAGCCTAGGCTCGGATGAAGTTGGAATAGTTTTTACTTTCTATTCAGTAAAAAGATCGCTGGATACAGAGCTTTATTCAATAAACAAACCATAGACCTTATGAAGTTTAGTTCACCATCCTAGTCAGAATAAACATTCCACTTATCAAACTTATCTTTTTACTCTGCAACATATAAGTTCATTTACTCAGCTATACTCATTCCTTAAGTTTCTCCTTTTAAAAAAACCGTTGATTATCTTTGGGAAGAAAGTCTACATAATTCAAGAAGAAGCATTTAAGGGGGAAAGGTCCCTCTTTACCTGTTCCTTCAGAAATAGCTCAGTTCCCAATATCCATCACAAATGTATAAAGTCTGCATCAACCTTTCCTCAAATCCAACAATCACCATTAATCCTTTGATTAATTTTAACTGATTTATGAGGGATCAGATGACACTGATTAAACATTTTGATCATATTCTCTTTTAACAGCGAGATTTACTGAATAGTTTAAGCCACCTTTCAAAGCTAATGTCCAGGACTCAGGTTCAGCTACCGATTCCAGATCCCTCAAGCTTTACAATTATTTTCTTCTGATTGCTGTCTAAATTTAATAACAGATTGTTTATCTTAGAAAATATCTTTCTTTCTCCAGCTGTTGCTAGTTTTTCAAAACCCGCCGTTCGTTTTCTTATTTCTCCTTCTCTTGGTTGTAATCACCTCTCCACACACAAAAACAACACAACCAAACTTTTGTCCTGCAAATACCAGAAGAAAGGAATCTGCTCATTACCTAAGGATGTAATTTTTACTTTCAAAAACATTGATTGTGAAACAGGTAAGATTGCCTTAACACTCACCTATTTTCTCCCTGGTATTTTTTACTGCTGCTCTATTCCTTTCCTTTGCCACCACATCAAAATAAAAATGTAGATGTTGTTTACCTAAGCAGCCCTAATCAGAAAAGGACACTTTTATTTTGTTTAGCCTAGGGTTTTAAAAAAGGCCAGAGCCAAAAAGACTTGAATGAGTACCCCCATCTCACCCCCCTGGGCCATTTCCTTTTGAGTTGTCACTTACCTGTGCCCAGGTAAAGAAGCAGAGGCAAAATGTCCATGTCTGGCAGCACTTAGGTGAGGATAAAGATACCTCAAAAGAGGGAGGAGTAGGAAGAGAAGAGAACACACTGGCTTAAAAGAGCTGCCCTGAGAAGAATTGATAGCAGCTGCTTATATAGACTGAAGACCTTTCTCTCACACAGGGACTGACAGGGAAGTCCAGCCCAGAAGGAGGAGACAGAATTCAACAGAGTGACTACTAGAGGGGAAAGGACGTGTTACAAAAATCTTTCCGTGCAGTCAGAGACTTTTTGAAAGGCAGATAGGGCTTCGTCCCCCTCATGACTGCGTGGGAAGAAAATCTTGGCACCTGCCCTAGAGTTGCCAACTGCCTGGAGGAAGAAAAATGCCTTCTACCTTTCACAGAGGCTTAATTGGATGTGACTCACCAGATGGTGTTATTTACCTTCAGGGCTTTTTTGTAGAAAAAGTCCAGCAGGAACTCATTAGCATAATAGGCCACACTCAGCAGCAGAAACCCATTAGCATATTAGGCCACACCCCCTGACTGCACCACTCATTAGCATATTAGGCCGCACTCCCATGTTACCAGAAGTGTGGTCATTCAGCCACACCCACCTTTTGCTTCTTATTCTGTTTACCTTGTTTGTTGTCAAAACCCAGGGCCTTTTTTTGTTGCAAGAACTCCTTTGCATGTTAGGCCACACACCCCTAATGTAGCCAATTCTAATAAGTTCCTGCTGTTGGGTGTGGCCTATTATGCTAATGAGTTCCTGCTGGGTGTGGCCAACTCGGGAGCCAGCCGGAACTCCGTTCCTGTGCGTTCCTGCCCAAAATAGCCCTGTTTACCTTCATGATGTGAAAATATTGACCTCCGCATTGCCACACATTAAGCTACTGTTTGAAGGACATGACCCTTTGTCTCCAGCCCAGCAGGGTTGACAACTTGTAAGCCATCCCTCTAGCTGTCCTATTAACATCAGTCAGCTAGCATCAGGTGATTCTGGTGTCTTCCACATGGAGATGGGATTCTGTGATTTCCTTGATGCTGGTGGGGCTGCAGATAAAGCACAGCAACAATGGAGCTTCCACATGGCAAACTTGGGGGCGGGAGGCACTACAGTATCATTATATCGATATACTGTTGTACTACAGGTGTAGCTGGTAAGTCTCTAGTCTCTTTGGTTTCCTTATACCTCTGCAATGGAGGGAGATGGAGTCAACCGGCACGCACTTTCCAGAAGTTCATGGAGGTCCCTCTAGGTTGGTGAATGGATACTTTTAAAGTGCAAAGTGGAAGCTTTGTACCTTGCCAACCTCCCAGGAGAAAATGCATTTCTTCACCAAAGCAATGGAGAATGGGGGCACCTTCTTTGGAGGGGGGGTCATAACTCAGACCCCGTAAATCCAATCCTCACCAAACTTGGAGGGCAGTTAAATGAGAGTCAGCTAGAGATCCCCTACAAGGTTGGTGTGTCTCTAGCACGTCCACGCCGGGGTGGGGGGCATTCTACCGCATCACAAACCTCATGAACTGAACCAGTTCGTTTAGCTCTTAACATTTTGTGGCAGTTTGTGGCTCACGAACTGGGCACACCACAAACCATGAACTGAAACAAACCTCATTTTCCCGGTCTGTGCCCATCCCTAGTCACCAACCAGCATCGGGGAGGGCTGTGGTTCAGTGGAAGAGCATCTGACTGGCATGTAGGTGATATGTTCACCCACTTTCTCAGTTCTCATTTACACTCACCCTCCATCATGCTGAGGGAATTCTGACCATGCCGTCCCCAAGAGCCAGCCCTACAATGAATGAGAATAAGGCAGTTGCTTCAATCTGGCTGCGGATTTGGTCGTTATTGAAAAGCCAACAAAATGTTATTTAAATTATGTTCAGAGGTCATTTCGGGGGGGGAACATGGGGGAACACAGTTCCCCCGGGTGAGGTGCAGGGGGGCGGGGCACATGATGAAGCCCCGCCCCCGCTTCCGGCCACCCCGCTTCCAGCCCTCATTCAGCCAGGAGGAGGCAGGAGAAGAGGGAGGGTAAGTTGCTTCCTCTCTGCCTCTCCCCACCCCTGCCTGCCTGGGGCCAGGGAGGGCCTTGGCGGGGCTTCCTCGCACTCCCACTGGCCTTGCAGGTCCACCGCCGGGCCCCTGATGTCAGGGGGTGTGGCATATGCTAATGAGTTATGCTAATGCGTTCCCCTAGCTCTTTTTCTATGAAATGACCCCTGATTATGTTTCTATTTATACTGTAGAGGAGGAGGAGGCAGTGTTTGCCATCTTCAGATATATAAAGTAACCCACAGACAAAGGGGAAGAAAAACTGAAACTACCAATATCCTTTTTTGGTTCTATTTTCTTATCCACCTACTGAAGTGGCAGGAAGCAGAGGGAGGTGGAAGATTATGTTCCCTTTTAAGGCAGGAACTAGTGAAGGTTAGGGTTGCCAGCCTCCAGGTGGGGCCTGGGGATCTCCCGCTTTTACAACTCATTTCCAGCTGACAGAGATCAGCTCCCCTGGAGAAAATGGTTGCTTTGAAGGGTGGACTCTATGGCATTGGACCATGCTGAGTCCCCTCCCCAAACCCCACCCTCTCCTGGCTCCACCCCCAAAGTCTCCAGGTATTTTCCAACCCAGACGTGGCAACCCTAGTGAAGGTGAAGGAGGCTCCTCATAACATTCCTGTCAGCATCATGTAACATAAGAACATAAGAGATGCCAATGTCGGATCAGGCCAAAGGCCCATCCAGTCCAACACTCTGAATCACCCAGTGGCCA